ACACACAACATCAACCATACCTTTGGTAATAAGTGTCTTACCATATCTTAAGCCTGGTTTCCATATGATCGTCCGGATCGGCCCACTCGTTTCAAAATATTTCGAGAAGATCCGGACGACTGGGGCGATTGGTAGTTTCCATATGATCGTCTCGATCGCCTCAAAGGTAAGAGACGCGGGGTCGTCAACGGTGTCTCTGGGTCAGACAATAGAATTTTTGCGCGTGTTTTGCAAACAAGCCACATAGATGGATGTTTTTTATTCGTAAAGCGAACCTCGTACCTTGGTATTTGCTTTTTCTCTTGATTTTGCGGCATTGAGAAGCTAGAAGAGTTCCCCGAAGACATAGTATTTCAAAAACTTGATTTCACGGACTTTCTCTAATTTCAAATACCCCCATACGCGCTGCGAACATTTGTGTATTATTTTTTCGGCTTCAGCGTCATCCGGGCCGAATTTATTCTCGATTACTGGAGTAAAAGTGATGACTTCTGGGATAGCCTTCGATCGTCCGGATCGTCTCAGTCGTCTGAGTGCGTTTCCATATGATCGCTTCAAAATTTACACGATCGTCCCGATCGTCCGGATAGAACTCAACTCTATCCAAGCGATCGAGGACGTCTCAGTCGTCCTGGTCGTTTGCGATCGTCTGGGTCGTGTTTCCACAGTTTAGCGTTAGATAACATCGAGTGAAGCCAGATTGGACACCTTATGAATTTTACACAACGCATTATTTCCATGATGGAACGAGATGAGGCTAGAATAGCTGAAAAAACCAAAACTACAGAGCTCCAGTTATGGAGAGAACACAGTAGAGAGTTAAGCACTGATCTGCAGTGATTAGGGTTAAGCACTGAACTGAAAACGGTTAGCTTTCAAATATCGTAATGGGGTACGGCATAAGGACATGTATATTTTAAAAATTATTGGATTTGGCAGATAGTCGTCGATGGTGAAGTGGATATGGATGTAGGCTATAAAGCAAGTGACCCGGGTTCAAAGCATTACAGTGGATTTTTTCTATTTTATTTTATACTACACAGTAAAGTTGGACTTGAGTTGTTCTTCATGTAATTTTACTGAAAGAAACAATCTGACTTCAGCCGATGTTACCTAATGCTAACCGTTTCCATGATCGTCCCGATCGTTTGAACATTTTTTGAGACGACTGGGACGATCCGGACGATCATATGGAAACCAGGCTTTACCGCAACAGCTTTTTAAAACATAACTTGACCTTCCAACGAATTGGCCATCCTTGTAGCTTTTCCTGGGCTCACGCCGACCAAACACCCCCAGTTCATTTGAAATTGAGATTCTTTATTGTAACTGATCCTTAGTGTAATATTTTTCTCTTCTCGTTTCACTGGCATATTGCGTAAAACAAAAACAAGCGCCGTACCACCATCTGTCAAACTAGAGTGTATTGCTCGAGTCCCATCTCGTTTTCAGTCTCTCCTCTTCCATTACCACAGAAAGGCACGACATCTGAAGTTGCAGAAACTCTTTTCGGACTACAAGATTTGGGGGAAGGGGGTAGGGAATGAAACGCTTTGACTGAGTCAGAATCTTATAGAAGACAGCAATTCCAATTCGATTGGAGTCCATAATCAAAAAAGGTTCCAACTGCGTGAAAGGGCGATCAAAACTTGGGACACGTAGGAATTCTACCTTGAAAACCGCTGATGCCCACCTTCAAACTTTACCTTTAATACAAATGATGCCAAACAAGCTGAGCCGCACCGTGTTTTGATTATATACCGACAGAAATTGGATATTTTTAAAAACGTCTCAGTCAACTTGTGGGCCCGGTTAGTTCTAAATCCTGCGGTGAAGGCCCAGACAAAACAATGTTCTGCGTAGTTCTTGTCGTTACAATTACTATCGTTTGTACGTGTGTGCTTTTTTTCCTGTAACGGTCCAAGCTTCCCCATAGCCCACCTCCTCTCCAACAATGAGAACGTAGAGTTAAACGTAACAATGACTAAATCACAATGCTCCAGAATTACGATTTCAAAACCCTTGGGAGGCAATTTTTCCCATTTTTATCTTCTTCTTACGGCTGAAGCAATTTTATGTCGGTGTGGGTGGGTATGCATCCTATTATATGATCAACTGGTGATTTCTGGGCAATAAATATCATCCAAACTTTGTCATTGGACCATAAGCGCTACGCATGAACATCTAGTCGGTTTATTCGATAGAACCATTTTTGGATGTCGCATCTTTACAGTTCAAGTCAAAATGTGCACAAATTCTTCCCTGTTTACGCATTGTTTAGCCAACGGCCTAAAGAGGCTGCCAGCTGTCCTCACTCAATTATGAGCCGCTGGACCTATTTCTGAGACCCGCTGTTCAATGAACGTATTGGTTTTTATCACTTGCAACGGACACAGCAAAACGTTTTCTTTTAATACAGTACAGCAGTTCCTTTGACTGCATCAATAAGCAACAGCTATTGTTTAATACTGAATAGCAACAAAACGTTTTTTAAAAAATCAAATATAAAAAAGGCTGGAAAATCTACGATGAGCCATTCCTGCATAACACACGGATCAGCGGAACTTCAAGAACCAAACATCTAAAGCCGCACACGCGTCAGCGTACACGTAACAGCAAGTTTTCATCAGAGCACCGAACGTCATAAGCTGAGGTTTTCAGGACAGCACAGTGAATATTTTTCTCTTGTAACAAACACCTCAGCTGGCGGTCAATATATAAATGTATTGAACTGGACAGGAACATGGTTGAATCATGGCGGTCATTACCAGTCACGGCCTTTTATGAGAATGACAAACAGAACAAATGTAATTGTTAGGAGAACAACATACCAAATAAGACATTCCCTCACCCTCGCTGGCCCTGTTTTGTAACTAAACAGTACCCTGGACACCCTTTGTGTAAGCTCACCTAATTAAGCCTTTACCTTTACAGTCCCGTACCAGAACAGGACCTTATATTAAACACGTCTTCAGGGCTGTGCTCTAGCAGAGCCCGGTGGCCGCTGACCGCAGGCGCCTAACTTTTGCTCTCGGGCGACACTTATGTCCAGGATCGATCTTGCTAGCAAAGTGTTGTCGCAACTTTTGCAAAAACAAAAAATAAAATAAAGGAAACTGATATCAGAAATGTTGCAAAATTAGAAAATCTTACTTTTTTCTTACAAATCATATGCTGGCTGGGCAACCTAGATTTTACAGTTTCAGAGCACTGGGCTCCCCTCAATTTTCCTTAGAGCACAGCCTTGCGTCTTAGTTCACTTTACATTACGGGAACAACCGTAAAGATACTTGTCATTCTGAACGGCTCTTGCCGCCACATTCTGTACATTCTATATCTGTTTGGGATGAATTCGAAATCACTGTTAACCCGGCAGGTCATTGTAATATGGATCTGGTTCTTTTTTTGGTAGATCACTCATTACATGTATATCTTCCTGCGTGTAATATTCTTTACACAATGTAGGTCGTCAATATTCGAGAGGATCAAAATTCTGATTCAAAATTGTGGTTATGTAAAAATATATTGAGTGGAGGTTCCGTAAGTTGTTGGTAAATCCTCAGAAAAAAATTGCCTTCATGCCTGAAAACTTATACTTACCTAAAAAGGTTTTAACTTTGCAAAATAATCATTGTTTTTCACAAGACTCTACAGTAGAAAGTACTAAAGGCCATGCGCCCTTGAGACTTATGACAGGCAGATAGGCAGATAAAAAATATTACTTTTGTTTGCCATGTATTTCTCATGTCCTGCTACACAGACAGGTTTGCATGTTGGTCCGAGTTGGTTTTTTATGGGTAGAGCAAACGTCTGCAAACAATTAAAGCTTTGCACCAACATAAAGATGACTGTGGTTCTCTACTCTCCCAAAGAGTTGAACCTTGCACTTTGTCATGTGGTTATACAATGTAATGTCATCAATGTGGTATCAGCTTTACTAAGTACTTGTGATTCATGCAATAGTTTTTCTTTTTAAGGAGGTTATAAAGTTTGACTGTGGCGAGACCACAAGATTGAGTAGCACTCATTCATGTCATCATGTTAAACTGTATAAGTTTTGGTGCAAGTCATACGAAAACATAGCTGGAAAATTTCCACACAAGTTACAGTCAAACCAGGTCAAGTGTACCCCGCACTGAATCCGTTGCTAGTTGTAGATTTCAGATTGATCTCTGCATTCTTGTATGTGTAGTGAGCCGTGAATTCACACGCGAGGCAGTTATGAAATTTCTACCAGCTCCATTTTCCTGAAATTGATGTAAATGTCTTCTAAGAAGCTTAATCCATTCAAAGATTTCCAATCTGGCCAAATACAGAGAAGTTCTCGGAAAATATTCACTGCTCATTACGCATGCAGAAATGCCGCTTTGAATTTGACACCAGTTACCGGAACGACTAGCAGATTCATTTTTCAAATAATCAATTCACTGATAGAATCTTGGGGGGTACGCTTGACTTGGTTTGACTGTAATATAATATAATATATTTTTATATCTGAGGTGATTCAATACCACAACCTCAGAAATAGACAAAAAGTAATTTGATTTGAGAGTTTAAAAAAGTAGAACCATGGCTGTCACTGATGGGCGAGGACCGGGAATTTGCTCTGACTAATATGAGCATGACCTCTGGATACTTTGAGAGGAAACAAAAGGAAAAAAGAACATAGAGAACTTCCCGCTACTAATTGCATATACGCACTTGTACCTGGTAACTTAAAATCATAAGCCTGGTCCTCACTAGTGACGCAAGTATAAGCATGAATATTAAAAGCTTATTCGCTAGTGAGAATGGCATCGACTTTAATAAAAGCATCAACACAAGAATATCAAAGCCTTGTGTACTTCTTTTTATGCTTACTTCAAGGCTGTCCTCACTAGCGCATAAGTATACCCATGCTTATGCTTATGCTAGTGCTTGCACCACTAGTGAGGATCTGGGTGCTAATAAGAGTTGAGAGTTACTTATAACTTCTTAAGTACTGCAAAATTACCTGAATTTCTCCCATAGTTACCACCATAATCGTCACGGCCACCATAACCACCCCCACCGCCATAACTTCTACCACCACCATAACCACCACCGCCGTAACGTCCTTCTCTTCCTCCACCACTTCTATAATCACCACCTGATAAAGGAAAACCATTATAAGTTTTTCCTTAGGGTGTGGTGAAAAGCTACATAAACAGTTCTGTGCCAAGTTGTTTGAAAAGTGGATAATGCTATCCACTGGATAAGTCTCATCCAGCGGATAACACAATTGATTTCCCTTGGCTAATACCAGTACTTGTCCCATAGATAGTGATTTATCCAGTGGATAGTGTTGTCCACTTTTCAAAAAACTGGGCACAGAAATGTTGTGGAGTCAACTTATACCAAGCTTTGGACAACCGGGACCTGCCAATAGTAGTAGTAGTCTAATTAAAAATTGTTATAGATGCGGGGGAAGGGTTAGGGTTAGGGTTAGGGTTAGGTTAGGGGGGTGAAGAGGAATAATCGCCGGGTGTTCATTATTCCATTATTCCAGTAAAAACGAACTCATTATTCCACTGAAAAAAAAACTACTTACTCCATTATTCAGCTCCACAAAATGGAATTATTCCATTATTCCAACAAAAATATTATTTTCCTTTATTCTAGACCCATTATTTCTCTTCACCCGGCGACAGAGATGCTTTATCACAGGTATTTTGACACTAAGTGGCTAAATTTTCCAGCTAAAACTACATGTACAGTGTACCATAGAAATTTCTGAATGAACAGATAATTGGATTGACTTAACCAATTGATCATCTATAAATATAATGACATCATTAAATATTTATAGCAATTCCATTCATTTCTTAACAGTATGCAAGTCACAGTAATACAAACTAAGTACGTTTTCCCATAATACATACACTTAAAAAGGGGAATGAAACAAAATCCTTAAAACCAATACAGGGAAATTAAGTGTGCTTAAAGACATAAAATTAACCCATTCGCCCCTGAACCACCCGTAACCACCCGTGCGGATCCAGGTCCTTTCTACCCTTTGCGACGACATCAGTTTTAACGGTCAAGGGCAACTTTCTTCACTAACTTGTGCAGAGTGAAGAGATCTTTCAAACCATACCAGAATGAGCAAAATTCAGTCAAGGACACCGGAGAAAGAAGCAAAGAACCACGTGACATTGACCTGAAAATCTCCATGAAAATCTTGTTCCATTGCTCACCTACCTTTCCTTTCACCTAATCCTAAGATCCTAAAAGCTTTCCTAAAAACTCTTCCCACCAAAATGAAGCCTACTAAATGCCCAGCAAGAGAAAAAAAAATGAGGCAAGAAAAGCGAAAAAAGAAGCGAGGAGAGAAAGCGAAAAGTAAAAGTCAAGACTGCTGTGTCACTTTTAAACCCAAAAACTTTTTGCTTTCTGCACATGCCCGAACTTCGCAAGCTGATATTTTGCATCTGGATCAGAAGGCCACAAAGTGTACGACCTGTAAACCGGTTTGTGGTAAGTTTTAGCTCTTTATAGCACGACAGTGACCAGAAAACCACTCGACTAGCTTCAAAACGCGTTTTTCGGTAAAATCTCCAGGAGCGAATGGGTTAATAACATCAATATCAGAAAGGGTTATCAATGGATTATTCCTTTGATCATCCTGCGGTATTTTTTATGCTGATAATACTATACACATGTACATACCTCCACCATAACTTCTTCCTCCACCACCTCCTCCATATCTTCCTCTCCCACCACCACCACCACGACCCCCCCTAAAGCCCCCTCGTCTTCCTCCTCCTCCTCCTCCACCACCACCTCCACGGGGGTTTGATTTTGCTACAGTGATTTCTCGGCCATCTAACACCTGACCAAGATATAATAATAACAAAAAATAAGCAATTCCACATTTGTTTTCTTACTACTTTAAATATAATATTCATTATTATTCATTCAAAATATTTCCCCGATTCTGATTGGCTAAAAGCACATGCATAATTCACCATAACCAGCTACTGATAACCAAATTTGGAAGAATTGTGCGATTAATCAACCAATGACGTCAAAAGTGTAGCTTCCTTGCAGGTTAATGTACTGTTAACCGAGAAGACCTGGGGATGAGGTTGAGTTGTTTTGGTTGTGAAAACAAAAGATGGCGGACATTTCACTTGTTTCAAGGGTAAGAACCAGGCAAAATAATAGCCAAAAACATGGCAAGAACAGCAAGAAGACAACTCGAAGGGCGACATCTGCTATTTGGAGAATATTTGCGGAGCTGAACAACCCTATACGTGTACTATTAAAGATGAACTTAACATTCATGGAGGTAAACATGCTTTAGCTATGTTTTTAAACTAGGCAATTATTTTGAATGAATGATAAAACAATTATTGAATTCGGCTTTCATATCATATGAAGAATTATGAGATCTCAGAGGGTGTTATCCTCCTCGGCCTACAGCCTTGATAGATAACATCCTCCTCGATCTCCATAATTCTTCATAAGATACTCAGCCTCATTCATTAATTGTTAATATTTTAATGATAACCTCTGCCTTGTCCAAATGTTTGCAGAGATCAAAACAGTCTCCTTCTAGTTGACCAGGACAAGAAGGTTTTTCTGTCAGGCAGTTTGCAGTTACAGTGTAGGCCAGAACTAAGCGAATAATGTAAACGCAATAGCATCAGCTCAGATGAGGGTATATGTCAGCACTGACGAGCGTATCCGTCAGCTTGGATGCATCAGGTAGGAAAAGAGTTTTATTTTGTAATTCACTGTGACAGCTTTACTTTGTGGGGCATTGTTGTGAAAAGCAAACCAACTTCTCAGGGTTGAAGAAGCTCAACAATCACTAATTCTAAAGGAACTTTTCATGAGGGACTTAAGGTGGTATGATACAGTTTTTCAGGGTCAATACCTCCCAAGTTTGAGCATAAACTACATGTATGTCACCATAAACAAAGATTTGGAAAAATTGCCACCAAAGTCGTATTAGATAAAGATCAAAACTTGTTATGATCAGGGTAAATGACATCGGAGTTGTCAAAGCAACGAAATGTCGCCATTAACCTATTTTACTTGCAGCAGAATATCTCAGCACTGGAAACTGTTCTTTCAAAATCATTCACGGGAGCTTTTTCCTCCAACAGCAGTCCCGATGTTCGTGAAGTTTAAGCAAAATCTGTAAGAGCGTTATCAAGATATTTTAGGGTGAAGTTTATATGGTTAGAAACAGTAAAAAATGGACACTCTTGATGTTTGGCCGTTATCAGTAGAAAACGAAGTGCTTTTGATGTGCGATTTCACCTCAAAGTAGTTTCAATCTTTTTAAAAACATGTGTGAAAGATCATGGAGATAGCTCCAGCCGATTGCTAGAAAGAAGGGTTTGATTAGTATGTATCGAGGCGCTCTTGTTAGCGGTTTTGTAAACACTTTGGTCTTCTTTAACAAATTAGCGAACAATTTTTAAACTGCTCAATAGATTTTTTAAAAAATTTAAGATTCTTGAGATTAACCTTCCTTTTATATGACCTTTTAGTTTCAAGATTATTGATATATTGTAAGGCAGTAAAATAAGGGCTACAATTTGTTATTTTTTTATTGGAAGTTTCGTCATTACAAGTGAAAGCCTCTCATTATTCATGGTATTGTCTCCAAGTTTCATTTTCACATGAACAGCAGTTACTAATAATGCATTTGAAATATGCAAAAATGCTAGCTATTGTTGTGCACAAAAATGAGGGTGCAAATGGGGTTAACAGTTAAACTGATATTTGGCCAAAAAAATAGTAGTTAACTGATAATTGGCCAAAAAAATAGTAGTTAACTGATAAATGAACAGTTAACAGTTAAAAGATATTATATTAATGAAAGGAACAAAGTTTTGCAAACAGAAATGCTATTTTTCTGACATTTGTCTGTCCCGCTGATGACCAGGTGGCACATTAACTGATATTACTATGTGCAAAAGGCACAACAGGGTAGTACCTGACAAATAGAAAGCGTAAGTCAAAGAGCTGGTTGTAGACAACTCAACGAATAATTCGTTGTTCTGATATTAACAAGATTTCCGTGTTCGGAAAAGGAAAATACTGTTTTCAGGGACCCAAAAGATCGTTAATTCACCTAAACATTACCCAAATAAAAAAGCTGGGACCCTTAGCATTGGTTCTAGCTAAGAAGAATATCTGAGGGTTCAAAGAAATCAGCAGTCTTTCTTTCAAGTACACAGGGCCCGCCGAGCAGTTTTCAATGTGCGGGGGTCGATCTACCCCTTTTGAAGTGTAGTTGGGGAGGTGGGGGAGGGGTTTGTGGGGTTGTGGACTTTAAAAATGGTTTACCTGGTGCCGACTCAATATTTTTTAAACAGTTACAACTCATCAATCATTTTTTTTAAATAGTTTAACAAACGAGAAAGGAGTTAGTAACAAAAAAGTGTAACCATGCACAACACAATCATAATTTTTGCGTGTTTCATTTACTTAAAAAGTTTGTCCGTCCTCTCCTTGCGGCTGTTTAGAACCTTTCTTTAGTCATTGTTGAACCTTCCAGCTGCCGTGATGGTTGCAGGATTTACCAGCAGAAACTTGCAGATCGGGACAATTTCATTTATCATACTCTGCTGAGGTAATTCCTGAAACTTCTTCATGTTGTTTACGATGTCAATGAGTTCAATTTGTTTTCAGAAGTTGCAGTAGCCTGCAAAGACATTCGTTTCTCCTCGCTCTTCGCTGCCGGAGACATTTTCTCCTCGCGAAATGTCCCCGGCGGCGAAGAGCAAAGAGAAATGGATGTTTTTGCAGGCTAAAGTCGCAGCTCCGTGCAGATCTAAGAACCTTGGTACAAAAAAGTCTCCATTGTTTGTGCATATACTACATGAAAACGCAGAAGTTTAAGACTAAGTGCAGAGTTTGTAGAGATAGTCGTTTTAAGGCTTACCATATGATATAGGACCGAAACGGACTAATCATAAACTTGGATTCTTCGGCGAGATCTGCCAGTTGAATATTCTTGTTCCATCAAAGATTCCTTTTATTTGAAAATGTTATTGTGTATTTCTTAATTTAATTTAATTTCATTTATTTTTTTCAGCCCCTCCCCCTGCGCGGGCCCTGGTACGTGCAATTTGTACTTACAAGAGATCATTTTTGTAACTGATGTTGGAGTTCTAACTATTGAGACCTTTTTAATAGACAGAAATGATCGTGTTTAAACCAGTCTTACTGAAACAGTTTCAGCAGTTTCATTTCTTAAAACCCTTGGATATCTTTAAGAGGCTTTTGAAATACGCGAATAAGGTACATCTGCGAAAAAGGTAACATTGCGGGACGCGGAAGAGGATGTCAACAAAATCTGCATCGAGGTAAAAAAAACTTCTGACAACGCAGGTCGAAAACCTACATGCGGTTTCTCACTTCAACACAAAACATTTAGTGCTTTGAACTACGCCCAAGACTTTGGAACCACAGTAAAGGAATCACTTAAAAGAGATCAAAAATATGAATGTCAGTTTTTACACGTATTAGCCCAAAAGTCATTTCACCTAGCACAAATTTTGAATTCCCCACAAAAGGTCACTTGCCCATCGGGCAAGTTAAGAACAGAATTCACCAGCTCGATAGCAAAATCCACTAGCCCTGGGCTATTGGACACTACTTTCTTTGCACGCTGGTTTGTAAAATCACTTGGTATCCTACATTTGTGGTGGCATTCTGGGTTCATTCACCCGAAAAATGCCAGGTTTTTTTTTTAACTCGTCGTCTTCCGCCCCTGGCAAAATAGGTAAAAAACCGGAAAAAGATTCGCAAAAAATTGTGTTACTTCCGATTGCTCCCAAATTTGGCACAAAGGAAGTTCATAGATTTAGCTAATCACCTGCCTAGTTCTAGCCCCTGTGGACTTTTGACCGCGACACACCGAGCTTTCGAAAATGTTGAATTTTATGGCGAGTCGCGGGGAATTTTTGTGAGCCAGTTTTGCGAAGAATGCAAGCTTGTATCGACGAATGTCAACCAAATACAAGTCAAGCAAACTATTCTGAAGGATTTTGGAGGATAACAAGCAAAATAAACGCGAAAATTGAAGTAAGGAAACACTTAGAATCTGTGCATGCAAATCGCCGATCGCCGAACTCTGTGCAACATGTTCTTGAAACGGCGATGATTTCCTTCCTGTTTTGCCTTCGCTTCGCTTCATGAGAGCGTGCAGAAAAAAATTTGTAGAAAATTTCTAGTCGCTCCATGTTTTAGAACAATTTTCGTTTTTTTTTTGCTGAGATATTGAGGAAAAAAATTTCTTACCACCATATCACCCAAAATAAACAAGTTTCCTAGCTGAAAGACATTCTTTAAAATTTTAAAAAATGTTTATGCAAAATATGCCTTTTAAATTTTTTTGTGGCGGAATATTATGGGTTTCCTACAACCGAAATATTTTTTTTTCCGAAAGGGTATTCTTATCCCTTTCCAATGAGGTATAGCTTGATATTGAACTGCAAATAACACCAGAGATATGATTTTTTTAAAGTTACATGGCAAAATACATTAAAATAATTTGGGGAAGACGCTGAAAGTCAGAGCCTGCAAGTGACAACTGATTGTGGACCAGTAATACATGTAGTTGTGCAACAGATACAGTGTGCATGGTGTTTATTGGTCTCTTACTTCTTTCCTTTTGGTACAGGAAGAGGTAGAGGAGATTGTTTTGTTGTGCAATAGATCTTTCGCTCTTTCACTATCGTTACTCTCTTGAATAAGTCTTAGGTTGAAAGTCTTTAGAAGTAGAGTTAGATCGATTTTAGAATATACCATGCAGGTGTGGCACGACATTCCTGACTATCTGTCAGATAGAATAGAGTCCGTGCAAAAAAGGGCCTTTACAATCGTATATGCTAACAATTCGTACGGTCAAGCATTGTTGCTTGCCAACGAAACTAGACTTTCAAACAGACGCGAGCTCGTATGTCATAAATTTATGGCTGAGATGAAAGGCACCCATGACCACCCATTGTCGTGCTTGGTGTCCACTGCTGCACAAAGAACTAATCCTTATAACCTTAGACCTGGTTCTTCTCGACCATTCAATAAGTTCATGAGAACTAGGAGACCAGAGAACTTTTTTACTTTAAATTTTTGTTGTTTAAGCATCAGTCATGATTATCTTTTAAGTAGTTTTTTAACTAGTATAAACTAGTTTTTTAGTATAAACTAGTTTTTTAACTAGTGTAAATGGTGAGATACCTTTTCTAGACTACTTGGTCACTCGCGACAACAACAAACTAAAAACGACTATTTACAGAAAACCGACACATACCGACCGATTACTAGACCAGTCTTCGTACAACCCGACCTCACAAGGCTACTACTATCTGGACTCTGACGAGACGAGCGCAACTAGTTTGCGACTCACCTGACAGCCTACAAGAAGAGACTGATTATCTTAACAACGTTTTTAGTAAGAACAATTATTACAACACGAACTTTGTTAGACGGAACACTCACAGTAACACTGATTCCAAAACTCAGACCAACTCTGGCCCTGTTACGACAGCGAGTATACCATACATCAGAGGCACCTCTGAAACTATTGCACATATATTACAACCTTACAGTATGTGTGTTGCACACAAACCGATAACCAGTTTATGGTGACTGCTTACTAATGTCAAGGACAAAGACAAACTGGAGGACAGACAGGGAGCAGTATACAAGATCAAAATTAATGCTGCCACTGCCAGGCTTTTTACATTGGTGAAACCAGCAGAAACCTAAGCACGTCAAGCACGCGACTGACCGAAAACAAACGAGCAACGAGGAATGGTGATGTCAACAATCACATTGCTGAGCACCATTTAAAGACCAAACATCAAATTGACTGGGACTCTGCGACATGTATAACATATTCTACAGACTACTATTAACGTCTTACTTTAGAAAGTTGGTTTACTAACTTAGAACAAACGCCACTGAATCGTAGCCAACAGTTACCAGCGCCGTACAAACGACTTATAAACGAGATCAAGCAAAACTAACTACGAGAGAACGACTGGAGAACTGACACTTTCACTAACAATAGACGACTGTTTAACTGTGACAATAGACGGATCGAAATGCACCAATTACTGATTACGAGTCTTCATAGCCAATAACATCACAGCTTAACTGACAGACGACCAATAACATTGCGACGTAATTGACCAATCAGATCAATAACCAAAGTATAATACCATCAACTGACGTGATACAACTCACTTTGACTCTGAAGATGACTACCGCACAGGTTGTCGAAACGTCAGTCACCGTCAACAACAACAGTCCTATTCAGGACTACGTTCACCTGGACGATCAAACTCAACCACATAGTGGTTAATACATAGCTTTATTGTAGCATTATTGTTAGTTATAACCACTTGTTAATTCAGTTATCTGCAAGAGGGTGGAATAAACGATAATTATTTATTTATTTGTCAAACCTGTATTATGTTAGAAGTCAACCTGTATTAAGCAGGTAGTAAGCCATCCCCCAATGGTGACTGGTTAATACAGGTTTGCTGTATATAAATACAAATACAACCAACTTGTGTTTCTGCCTTGATGTGCAATCCATCCAACATCCATACATGATGTGAATTTTGACAAAATTATAAACCTTGATTATGCAAGGAATTATGGGCATAAGGAGACAAATAAATATTAATTTTTATAACTTGGTCTAATATCAACTGTATTCACCTTCTGATGCAGCTGGTCGATTACATCTTGTACATGGCGTCCATCATAAAATGTTACAAAGCCAAAGCCTTTTGATTTTCCATTTTCACGGTCTGTTATAATAGTAGCTGCAAAATTGAGAATGAACTTCAAGATTAGATAATAATAGTACTACAGGTTACAAAATAATAATAATATTATTGTAAGTATAATACTTTTATTATTATAGGATAAAAACTTTATTACAAAACCTCAATTAAAATCCTATTTACAATCAACCTGCTGTTACAAAAGATCTAATTCAACTATTCATTTACAAATTTTTTTTTTTTTTTTTTTTTTTTTAAAAATAAAAAATTTTTCTTAACTCAAACATACATAAAAGAAATGAATAGTTTTTCTTTTTTTTTAGTATAATTGTATAATAGGATTTTAATTAATAATAAAAGTTCAAAATTCTATAAAATTAAGAATTCCATTATGCAGAGATATTAAGATCATGCAATCGAATTATACTAATGACGGCTAAACCAGTGTCCGTAAAAAGCCCTAAGTAAAAGCATATAGTAAGTATAATGCTGTGAACAGATGCTGGGCAGTAAAATATCACCTAAGAAATGATAAACTGACATGCTGTACACAGTTTGTTTGTCACAGGTCATTTATTGGTTCAATAAACACATCTTATTAGCTGAGTTATTGGTCCATACTGTTTATTACGGACCCAGTTTTTTTTCCAGCAATTTATTGATTCAAAGCAATGCAATAAAACGAGGATCTGTAATTCACAGCATGGACCGAGAAAACAAGGTTAATAAGATGTTTATTATTATGGCTTTCTGTCTGGGGGAACTGGAAACAAGTGCAGGTCAAGTGATTTGACAGACAGGCCTCACAATAAGAAATATTTTATTGGCCTTCGATAACAATAGGACTTCACAAAGGCTTTCTGTGGAAAGTGAAAATCACAATGCAAATGCACCATGTTAAAAGTTTGTTCAGTGGTCAAAACTAAGAGCACTGTAAGTTTTAGCTTGCCAATATAATGCTGGAGACTTTTGAAAACTGGATGCTGTGTCTGGCTGGAATACACTTCCATATTTCTTTCCTTGGTCTTTAAAAAAAAACATTGCAAATAACAAAGAAGCTTGTCTAGATAATCGGGTGCAAGTACCATTGCTAACTTCATTGCCAAAGGAATTGCTCATTTTCTTTTGCAAAATGTCTCAATTATCTGCGAGTTCACTCTCGTCTTCCTAACTGTGACCTACAATAAAATTTTCCATCACAGACTAGAATCCTCTACTTCAGTAAGATTACACTTCAGTTTCTTCATCAGCTTCATTCTCCAATAAACCCAAGATAAAAGTTGGTAGAACGAAGTCAACAACCAAGTCCTTGCCAGGGGTTGACAGACATATGATAACTTTCTTTGAATCATTTTTTTTAGATAAAAAGATTTACAGCTGCAAATTGAGCATTAATTTTCCTTTTGAAATTTTGTCTGTATAAAGTAAGTTATTGACCAATCGCAAGGCAAAAACAGGCTAAGCCATATATAGGGTAAATTATTTTAATATACAGATTTAGCCAGGGCTAAAAGCTAAGCTCTTGTTAATATCTATAGTTTACAAAAAAAAATATAATATAAAGTAACGCTAAGGGGCGAAGGCAACGAAAACAGCCCAAAAAATCAGTAGGTCTAATTAGCAAAAAAAAAAAATTTTTCACATGCAGTACACTTTTTTTCTAATTAGCAAAACACAACTTTGCACGCTTTTTCTTTGCTGCTGTTTTGCACGACTACAACGTGAAACTTCCTAGTTACACATTTTATGGAGGAAATGTTGTATGTGTTCCTGTTCACGTTTTAGACTAATTATGTTGTTGTTGTTTTTATCTCTAAAACGCCAGGAAGCTATGCGATTTACCGCCGAAACGCTTACATGAAGGGGTGGACGTATGTACCGAAGTACCCCCTAAGGATGATTTTCTCAGAACCAAGATTTCTTGGATGCATAGATTACCAAATTTTCTTACCCATGGTGCTCTGCTGCACACGCTTCGCGTGAGAGCTCCCCTATTAATAGTTGTCGGATACATGACTACAGCTGTACAAGTGAGCCACAATGTGCGAAACTTAGCACAGTTACAATGATCCAATGAGAGTGTTATGATTTAAAGTTAGGATGATACCACTGGCCATTTCTGCTAAAAATCATCCTCACCGGCAACAATTGAGTTTGTAATGCCAACATAGAGGGTATCAAAGGGTTTATGCTTGATGTGTGATTAGGCCCAAATTTAGTGCATGACGAATGAAAGTTTCCAAAATAAAAACGGGATCCGTGAAACCAGTTGTGTGTGTGAAGCGCGATTTATCTTATAAGAATAAATAATGATGTGCGGGACATGTGAATTATTTGTCACATTTCGTGAAAATCAACAATACAGGACAGATTGATTGAATAGGGCCATTGGTTTCATTCTTTGCGTTACACTTTTGTCTTGGTTAATAATTAATACCTAATGACCAGACCCTACAAACTGCACCTGACCAATGACCTTTGAGATTAATTTCTCCACTTCTGCAATTCTTGTGTTACTTTGTTTTCGTGTTTAAAGGGGCTATGTCAGCTGGAGAGCATGCGCTCTGAGGTTATGCAAATTACTTTCAACTGTCAAAATTCTATTGTTTTTAACGCGCGACTTTCTCCATGTGCGCTCTGAGGTTATGCAAATTACTTTTAACTGTCAAAATTCTATTGTTTTTAACGCGTGACTTTCTCCATGTTCTCTGTCACGTCCAAGGCTCCGAATTTAGAGAGGTTAACAAGCGAAATGGGTTTAGATAAGGGATATTTCGATAGAATTTACGGAACGTTTCTTCTCTGGTTATGCTAGATCAAGAATAAAATTGTGACGACAATTTTACTTGTAGTTTTGGAGTAAAAACGCATGCCATTCATAAAATAGTGCGCAAACAAAAATTCAACAACAACATATTGTCTTATTCAACAAAATAAATGGAAGTTGTAGTTTACAAACGAGCGACAAAAAACGCTAGATCGAAGATAAAGACCAAGACTGTTTCAAATCATTAACAATTAGACTTGTCTGTGGCTAGTGATTTTATAATTTAGATGCTGATAGAACAAGAGACATCAAGTCTTTGTTTTGATCTTAGGGAAACATACATTATCGCGCAAAATTGTTTGATCGTGTCGAATCACTGCGACGTCGAGAAAAACAGAACCAAGCATCATTGGTATACTACTTCACTATAAGCAGTCCATTGATAAAAAGGGAAAGTAAACTCTGCTATTTTCCAAAAATATGCTCGAACACAAACAGTTCAAAAACATGGCATTTACAGGATCTAACTCGTACTAAGGTGCCTCTCTAAGTCCGTTGAGAACAATCCGGACGAGCAAACGGTCGTGTTTATCTTTGCCGTGAATCCAGATAAATACAAGAAGGAATCTAGCCGAATTTCATAATGTTTCCTTCGCCAGGAGTTTAGTTTGCAGGGGCACCCAATGACAATTTTCGGAAAAATATCTGTTCGGAAGACGATTTGAGATCTAGAATTTTCGGAACATTTGTTGTAAAATTTCTTGCTTGCCTGCCTCTCCTAGGATTTTCGGACATCTAAAAAATGGTATAATTGCCTATTTTCAACGGATTTTTACCCTAAAAAGGTCACCTAGAATTTTCGAGAGCCTTTTTTCGGGCTGAAATTTTCGAAAAGTTAAGTTTCGATCCCTATAATTTTTGGATCACTAGACTTTCTGCTAGGAAATCCGAACAGATGAAAAATTTTTAGGGGATAAAAATATGCCTATATCTACCGTTTAAATACTAAAATACGTTTAACTATGCTATGTTTAAGTGGTTTTGAACTATTCTCGTTGGGTGCCCCTGAGTTTGGTCACGAAACTCATGGCCTGATGCTCTTGTAATCGTTTACCAAAAACGGCCGCCACCAACTCGATAGCCGCTTTATTATATGTCCACATAGTTTGAGAACAAGAAAAATCCAAGAGCCAGCAACGTCTAAAATAACTCAATAGAAAGGTTCTGTGAACTATAGGGAAGATTCCATCAAAGATTCCATCACTCATTGTGGAGTAGCCGTCATTAACTCTGCCATTAGGGAACATAAGATAGAGACGTTTTCGGGGCGACGGCGACCGGACTGGCAGAGCAAGCCTGGAACTGAGGTAGCCGTCGCTTCCCGCCAAAATTCGAACATTAAGATCGCAGTGAACACTCAGAAGGCGGCGGCTTCGAAGACTACCGATGAGGGATCATGGCTTCACATAAAGAACTATGAGAATTATTGCTTATTTGCTACGCAGACAACATGTTATCAGATGAAGAGTTTCTCGTTTTGTGGGAAAATTATCAGTCCAAGAATCCCGATTTTCCTTGGGACAGTTTCGATCCGTTCACGCTCGTAAACATGGATGAAGCTGAGTGTAAGGCAGAATTTCGGGTTGAAAAAAATGATCTCCAAAGGCTTGCAGAAGCCTTACAAATTCCAGGAAATACCAAGGAAACGTGTGTGATGGAATGGAGGGACTATGCATGCTGTTAAAACGACTGGCATACCCTTGTCGTTTCAGTGATATGATTGAAACGCGTTTTGGAAGATCTGTTTCTGAGCTATGTATGATAACAAATCGAGTGATGGATTTTATCTACGACACCCATGGCCACCGCATCACTCAGTGGAATCCTGCTGTGCTAAATCCTGGATTTCTTGAACAGTACGTAGCTGCCATTGAAGGTAAAGGTGCCGCCCTAGACAACTGCTTTGGGTTTGTTGATGGCACGGTGCGTCCAATCTCCAAACCGGGTGAACAGCAGAGGATTGTGTATAATGGGCATAAAAGGGTCCACGCCCTGAAGTTTCAGTCAGTTGCTGTACCCAATGGGCTCATTGCAAATATGTATGGTCCAGTAGGTATGCTCCTTTTAAGAAATATATAACTAGTCAACACAAAGTACTCATTTTAAAGCTTGGATATTTCACATTATTAATTTTATTTGATATTTGTTTTTCAGAAGGTAAGAGGCACGATTCAGGAATGTTGGCTGATTCCGGGCTTCTTCGGGATCTAGAGGCTTACGCGTTTTCACCAGCAGGCTTACCAATGTGCATATATGGAGATCCAGCCTATCCCCTTAGAGTCCACCTACAAGGCCCTTTCCGGAACCCTCATCTCACTCCTTTAATGGAAGCATTCAATGCTTCCATGAGCTCTGTAACGATTTCAGTGGAGTGGCTCTTTGGAGACATTATAAACTATTTCAAGTTTTTGGATTTTAAGAAGAATTTAAAAATTGGCATGAGCAGCATTGGCAAGATGTATATTGTCTGTGCACTACTGCACAATGCCCGCACCTGTCTCTATGGCAATAAGACCTCGTCATTTTTCGAGCTTGAACCCCCCACCCTCGAGGAATACTTTGCTTAGAGGTAGAGAGAAATAGGGCCCTTTATAAGAGAGTTTCAAATTTGCCTGACTGTTCCTGTGATTACCCTTGACCAGTTATAATACTAATGTTAGAAACAAAGAAAAGAAGTAGCTTCCTTGGAATCACATCAAGAATAAGTAAGAATGGAAAGGGGGATTTAAATGTTGTTAAAGAGCACTAAAAGCTCTATTATGACCCTCTTCAGTAGTCATAGCATATGAGAAGTAACATTTCTTTGAAAATTGGAAAAAAAAAAAACACCTGCAAATGATCAGTAATCTTAAAGCTTAAACAGGGAAACACAATGATGTCATAAATCCCCTATAAATCTCCCCTCTCAATTAAGTCCCCCCTCAAAAATACGCCCCCTCCTTTTTAGGGAAAGAAAGTTATAAAGTCTACCCTCTTTTCTTAGCCCTCCCCACTCCCCCCAAAAGTGAATGGAAAAAATAAGACCCCCCAGGAGAGGCTTAATAGTTGATTATTTACAGTCTGTGTTAAAATTACAAACTGTGATGTAACCTTCCCCATGGGAGCAAGAGCTACTAAACAAGACATATGCAAACACTTTAATATCAACAAACGTATCTTGAAGTTGAGTAGGAATACAGTATTACATCCTTTTAAAATAGAAATCAACAAACAACGAACTGGTGTGAACCGATATATGAACTGTTCTAATTTTTCTGCTTTTCCCAGGGTTCTCAATAGAAGGCGGCACCCGGCGATTGATCGCCGCTTACTTTGGGATTTATAGCCGCTTACTTTGTGTTTAGGTCGCTTTTCTTTGCTTTGTTTTGACACCTCTGGCTTTGCTGAAGAGCCTCCTACTTTATCAGTGATCACCTCCTACTTAAAAATCTATTGAGAACCCTTTTTTTCACCATTTTTTCAATCAGAGAAAGTAAAACTTGATTCATTTGTTGTTGCTGCTGCAACAGCACCAGAGTCTGGCTTTGCTGGTCTTTCCTAAGCTGAAGTTCTTCCTCTCTGAGAGAATGGTCTAACTTTGCTTTTTCTCTGAGAAACTCCACAGCTTCGCTACTACTCTTTCTCTTTTTCTTTTTCACTTCCACCTCCCCATCTGCCCCACATCTTTTGCTACTTTCTCCCAAACGTTCCATGGCCTTTTTTTGAATTTGTTCTGCAGCCTTCTTTTCTTCTTCAACCTTTTTCTTGTCTTTGCCACCAGTTCTAACAGCAGCATCTTCTTTCCCAATAAGCTCTTCAATTATGGTGTCCATTTCATTCACCTCCACATCAATGCCGGATGCTTTGATTGCGTTTGTCATTTTTTTCTGGTATTTCCCACGCAACAGAGTCCAGCGGTCTCTACATGACCTCTTGAGGACCTTAAATTTTGGGTATTCCACAGCATTGAGATTTGCAGCGATGGAGTCCCAAACTTGATCTCTTTCTGGTGTCCCCTTTTTATACTGGAACACCTCACTAACAGACATTTCATCTAGAAGGGCTCTGTCATGTTGTGGGGTCCACTCCATAATCAATCTAGGCCAACAAACATGGATTAACAGACAAGACAAATAAGTTAGAGGTGGAGAACAGATCTGGCTGGCTCATTCCTATCTTTCTAGTTACAGAAAAAATGAAACTCTGGCAAACAAGTGTTCAAAAGGTTCCAAAAAATTTTCTAAAAAAAATTAACATACAAGCTAAATTCCTAGTTTCAGGGTGTAAAGGAAATGACCCAGTCACATTTTGGTTTACAGGATAGACTAAATCAAATTCTTTCAAATTCTGTAAAAGAGGGAGCACTGTTAAAAAAGAAAAAGGTTTAAAAAAATTGAATTCGAAGTATCCGCTGGTGATGAGAGGCTTTTACTCAGCAAACTTTGGCGAGACACTTGGAATTAATTCAGTTTCCAAGGATATTTCTTTTGGGAGCTTTTCTACCAGTCTACCAGAGACAAGTGCTAAAGAACTAAAATGCGTTTTGTTACCTCTTTGACAAAGAAATTCTAAGTTTGGTATCGGAATAATTCCCGGGAAATACTTGCATGCAACAACAACAACTCTATTTCAGTATTCCCATGTTAGCATTACGCTTACGTTTACATTTGTGTTCCAGTCTAAATAATTTTCAATGTTTCATGATTTTATACGATACACAAACGAAAAAAAAGAGCTAAGAACACGCAATTAAAATATCAGTTTTCATATTTCTTTTGACTACTATTATTTGGCTCGTAGGACAATAATTGGACAAAATTATTTTGTCCATGTAAAGCTCACTTACGGTTTGCTGTTTGCCATGTTGGATAGATTCTCTTTGACTCTGTGACATGAAACATTATAAAAGATGTAAGTTTAGATAACAGACCTTGGAAATCAAGCTTGAAATGTGACTCAAAGAAAACAAGGACAATTTAAGAACGATAAACTATAAAATTCTGGTTGCTAAACGCAACAAACCTGAGTGAAATGAAAGTTAGATACTCACGTTTTCGCCACAATGCCAAACCCACTAGTTTCACGTCGCCGACGGGACCACGACGGCAAGGTGGTAAACAAGAGCATGCGCAATATTGCCAAATCATGACGTCATGTCCGGTTGAAGTTGCTGTTGCCCCGAAAACGTCTCTATCTTAAGTTCCCTATTACAACGGCCGCTGATAAGAGGACACAGTAAATCCACCCAAAAACATTCCACAGGCAAACAATTTCAAAATAACGCCAAAAAATTATTCTGTAATCACCATAGAACGATTCTTAATACAAAACTTCGCTAACTATCGAACGATGGCTGAGATTTAGACAGATAAAAACAGCCTTCCAAAATCTCCGACAGAACTTGAAAAAGACAGCCCGACTTTTTCAAGTTTGTTTTCATTGGCTCGCGCATGCGTGTGGGGTGACATAGCTCCTTTAACTGAGTGAATTGCGGGTAAAGAGAAATCACATCAAGGGCATTGATCTGTTTTCAATTTGAATGCAAGATGCCTGGAAACACAAGTTTCCCACATCCACAACTGCTCATTGACACCCTTTAAGATCGCCCCACCTACATTCTAATGAGAGGAGAAGCAGGGAGAAAATGCGATCGTCAAATAAAATGCGAATTGGGGTATCTATGATGACTGTGTTTTGCTTCTTAGCCTGTTTGATTAACAGTTGAGATTCGTGACTCGTGAAAATTGGTTTATAACCCACGTGATATGTGAAATTTGTCAAAATTTGTACTTGAAACCAGACCATGACAGGGCTGTTATTAGGTTTTGAAACAGGCATAACATGAACGATTTCAGCTGTGGCATTTTAAAACATGGCCGAATGACATGTAACAAAAGGCCCTAAAGGTAGGTCTAGGGGCATGCACCCCCCCTCCCTCCCCCAACCAGAAAATGCATTTTTCTGCACTCTGGGGCAGGCTGCTTTATCAGCTCCTCCATTTTCTTCTGTCTGTTGAGACTTGAAAAAAAAAACTGTTGATTCCAGGTTGCCTTGAAGCGGGATCCTTTCTTTTATTATCCACGGCAAAACCATGATTAAAGACGAACTATACATGTGGAATTGGTCATGTAAGAAGCACGCAACATGGTACCGCGAAAGTCACTCAGCAGAATCCAATTTAAAGTCAGCACTACCCATTGCTTAATGAGGTTTGCCAATGAAAATGGCATCTGGAAAAGCAACGATAGATTCGAAATTTTATCCAAAGGTTTTTGAAAGGAAAAGGTTTGGTTTGAAATGAAACACATCTTAGCAGTCTTAAAATCTAGGACACAGAAGACAAAAGGTAACAATCATATTTATTTTAGAAGGTATTGTTTACTAATAAATTTTGATTTGTCTTGGTCTTTGAACGCAGCAACCATCACCCGTAACATCGACTGAGCTCAGCCGTAACAGGTGTTACAGGTTACAGCCCCACATGACAGCCCTGCATGATCCCCCTTTGCTACCCTCAAGATAGCGACAGGACACCCAAGGAACCGAAGGAGACCCAAAGATTAGTGTGCTTCTCGCTATGGGGCTTGCTGCAACAACCACAGCTATTAAATCAGAGTTAACTATTTTAAAGATTCCCACTTTGCGACCAAAACATCGCTGAAAAGAAATTCAATTATAAGGTACCATTATTTCAAGACATTGTAACCAAATGCAAGTGGAATGAATTCTTCTGATCTGCCAACGACATTTGTACGCCAGTTGACTGATTTTGACATCATGATGGAGCAATGAAATTCGTAACTCTCTCCCCTGAGTGAATACATGTACAAGGTTGCGCTCTGACAAAAACTTTTAGGGAGCCAACTACTTTGAGCCTGTGAAATCCAGGGTGCTCCACATAGGTTTTTAATGAACAAAACTGACATTTCCTAGTCGTTCAACAGCGAGTTTGCACGGCATTGTCTCGAGGGCCTAATATCGACAGTCCAATCGACTTTACTCACCACTTTCAACTTCTCCGTGTCCGGCAACACTTTCAAAGTGGCTTTTCAAGTCCTCATCTCTTGTGTCATAGCTCAAATTACCTACAAAGACCTTTCTACCGTCTTCATCTCCCATGATTTTAGACTCCTTGAGGACAATCGCTGAGACGCTTACACGAGCTCTTTTCATACACCACTGAACAGCCAGTGAACAAACCGGTTTTACAACATTCTCGTCCTCAAGGCCGCGATCGTTTTGGTCAGCGCCTCGCAGCGTAGCGTCGATAAAGATGTCATGTATGGGGAATTATAATGTACAGGACGAGGTTGAGACCAGCCGGGAACAGTATCTCGTCGTGAAGACTCTTACCTAGGGGTAGGAAGAAAAAGAAGACCTAAGACCTAAGATCTAAAAACGAAGACCCCCTCAAAATCACTTATAAATAGCTAGAAAGTAGAAACGGCTATATCCATATCGACCTGAGATAGTGTAAGAAACAACAAGATCTTCAATTATCAGGGTTTTCGTTTTCTACACCTTCCCCCATCAAAAAAATAAAAATAACAATAAAAATAAAAATTGTAGAAAACGAGGACTCCCTACTCAAAAGTCACTTGAAAACGGCTTGAAACAGCTTTCTAGACAGCACAGGAGTGTAGAAAAAACAAGATCTTCAATTATCAATAAATTGGACCATGGTTTCCGTATTCCACAACCCCCCCCCCCCATATTTAAACGGCTCGATTCGGCTCGAAACGGATTCTAGCAAGAGAGGATTTTTATCTTCTCTTGCTTCTAGACACTGGAGGTGTGAAAGAGACAACAAGATCTTCGAAAATACAGCCAACTCTCTCGTAAGCGACCACCCTTGGTGCTCGACAGATTAACAGATTAACGTAATCACATAAAGTTATTACCTTACAAGCTAAAACTTAGGCAAACAAGCTACTGGAAATAATGTTTCACATGGAATAGCGCTTGGAACAGGGGCACCCAACGCCAATTTTCGGAAAATATCTGTTCGGAAGACGATTTGAGCTCTAGAATTTTCGGAACATTTGTTGTAAAATTTATTGCCTGTCTGCCTCTCCTAGGATTTTCGAACATCTAAAAAATGGTATTATTGCCCATTTTTAACGGATTTTTACCCTAAAAAGGTCACCTAAAATTTTCGGGAGCCTTTTTTCTGGCTGAAATTTTCGAAAAGTTAAGTTTCGATCCCTATAATTTTCGGATCACTAGACTTTCAGCTAGAAAATCCGAACAGATGAAAAATTTTTAGGGGATAGAAATATATCTACCGCTTAAATACTAAAATACGTTTAAGGTGACTCGACCCAGTTTTTTTGAGGGGGTACCATCCTACTTTGAAGCTCTCTGGTATCCCCACCTTTACTTTTATCGTAAGTCTAACACATAGAATGGATAACATATAGATCAATCTACAATATAACATAAAATTTCTGGCGATCGGAGTAAATGTCACGTGGTTATAATGCTAGGCCCCTTTGAGGTCTGAGTCGAAAATCTGCTGTTACCGGCATTTGTTCGTGAAAATCTCTCTGCTACACATAGTGCGCATTAGTGCCTTGCGCTGAACAGAGTTTCACCAAAATCGCAAAGACCCAATTCGAGAAATTCAGCGGTTTCCAAATTTAGGTCATAATTTATGCGAAAATGGTAAGCAAACTTTACACGGATTATATCTTATAAACTGTGAGACTCATCTCTTTATTTTGGGCATCCTTATAACTGATGGGTCCTTGCAAGTCAGCAAAATGCTTTAGGGCCTTGTAAATGCGCGCGATTTCGAGCAAAGCAAACATATAGAAATTATAGTTTTCGCTATTTGTTGACGTTTGTCAGCGTTTAAGAGTCCTTCTCACGAAAAAAGCATTTTCTTAAAAAATTCGTAGTTTTTTTTCCTTCAAATTTTTTCAGGGCCACAATTGATTAACTAACTACCCGGACTCTGAATTTCATGGTCATTGAAAAGCTGTGACATTATCTTCTATAAGCCCAAACTTGAGTAAACATTGAAGATTTTTAGCGTTTTGGCTGAGTTTGTGCTTTGGGAGTTGTCTATTGTATCTAGTCTGTCATGATACAGCATTCTTGTTCAGCACGCGTGCAATGACCACGCTTGGCTGACTTCCGAATGCTCACCGAGAAATAATAATTTTGGTACAGTGAGACAGGCCATCGGGTGATACATAGAGGTTTAACTCACAATTTTTAATCAATTGCCGTGCTTCTTGTGCCTTTGCAAAAAAATCAAGAAGTGCTACACACTAAATCTACTTACTATTAAAAAAATATCATTTTTTCATAGGTTTAATGCAAGCCAATAATTAAACCAACTCGTGACGGGAGTATCTCGGTGAGCATTCGGAAGTCAGCCAAGCGTGGTCATTGCACGCGTGCTGAACAAGAATGCTGTATCATGACAGACTAGAAACAATAGACAACTCCCAAAGCACAAACTCAGCCAAAACGCTAAAAATCTTCAATGTTTACTCAAGTTTGGGCTTATAGAAGGTAATGTCACAGTTTTTCAATGACCATGAAATTCAGAGTCCGGGTAGTTAGTTAATCAATTGTGGCCCTGAAAAAATTTGAAGGAAAAAAAACTACGAATTTTTAAGAAAATGCTTTTTTCGTGAGAAGGACTCTTAAACGCTGACAAACGTCAACAAATAGCGAAAACTATAATTTCTATATGTTTGCTTTGCTCGAAATCACGCGCATTTACAAGGCCCTAAAGCATTTTGCTGACTTGCAAGGACCCATCAGTTATAAGGATGCCCAAAATAAAGAGATGAGTCTCATAGTTTATAAGATATAATCCGTGTAAAGTTTGCTTACCATTTTCGCATAAATTATGACCTAAATTTGGAAACCGCTGAATTTCTCGAATTGGGTCTTTGCGATTTTGGTGAAACTCTGTTCAGCGCAAGGCACTAATGCGCACTATGTGTAGCAGAGAGATTTTCACGAACAAATGCCGGTAACAGCAGATTTTCGACTCAGACCTCAAAGGGGCGTGGCATTATAACCACGTGACACTTACTCCGATCGCCAGAAATTTTATGTTATATTGTAGATTGATCTATATGTTATCCATTCTATGTGTTAGACTTACGATAAAAGTAAAGGTGGGGATACCAGAGAGCTTCAAAGTAGGATGGTACCCCCCAAAAAAACTGGGTCGAGTCACCTTAACAATGCTATGTTTAAGTGGTTTTGAACTATATTCTCGTTGGGTGCCCCTGCTGTAACTGTTGAAACTTTGTACTTAACATTTTGCATCAATGTTACGATTCACTTTTTTAGCTACAGATCTTTTCACAGTCATCTTTTTTGTAAGTCAACTGCTATAATCTATCAGTACGTTTGGTGAGCGCTATCAAAAACTGACCTTTTTTTTCACTGGAGGAATGGTTTACTCACAATCATACCTGAAAATGCCTGATGGTCGCTTAAATGAAACAGAAAACAAAAGAGTTACTCAAATTTCTGGTTTAAAAAGTGGTCGTGGTCGTGAGTAGTTTACGAGTGATCGCTTATGAGACATTTTTTAAAACAGTATTAACTGAGAAAAGAAAGGGTCATAATATTTTCCAAGTTGTCGCGGTCGCTCAAGGAAGGTGGTCGCTTACGAGAAGTGGTCACTATGAGAGAGTTGACTCCAAGGTGTCTGTAAAATCCGGTACAGGCCCGGAACACCGTTATCTACCGATTATTATACAATCTGCGTTTAACTTCACAGAGGGCATCCCTATGGACATTCATTCATGTTATGGTCAATTGGCAGCTGTCAAAAAGGGTATCCGCTGACCGGTGTTACAGTGTTATCGCGGCATCAAGTGTACAACTCACTGAGGTGACGGGTTTTATAAAGTTACCCGCTGACCAGTTATTGGTTTTAATTGATCGCAGGCTCAGATCCATAGTGAGAAGGCCATATAGTAAATAACTTAATATATAGATTTACCCAGGGCTAAAAGCGAAGCTCCTATTAACTCGAATTTATAATTTAAATCAAACAATAAACTTGTATTCCAGAAATCAGTTAACTTTAGAGCACATTCATGTGACTTTTGAGAGAAAGGCTAACTGATTTTAGAGAAAGATAATTTGCAAACAGTCAAAGCTAAGAGTGAACTTAATCTTACATCGAGTTGATAGCCTTATACGTACATCTAAAAAATAGCATAGCCATAATGGCTCTTGATCACAGTAGATTAGGCCTGGAAAACAAATTCTTATCATGACAAGAAAATAAAACCAACAAAGAACTGTACGGCAACCTTCCTAAGATTACAGATGCACTGATGATCAGGAGGCTGCGGTTTATAGGACACTGTTGGAGAAAAAAGGATGAGGTGATAAGTGATCTACTACTCTGGGAACCAAAGCACGGCACAAGAAAGAGAGGAAGACCAGCAACAACATATGTAGACCAGCTGCGAAATGATACTGGTTTGAGCATTGCTGAACTGAAGAGCATCATGGGAAACCGGAAGGAATGGATGAAGCTAGTTAATGGAGCAGCCAATCAGAGCGCCCAGATTGTAGCTGATTGTAGCCATATACAAATATATGGGGAGTAAAACTTACAGCAAGGAGTTGCGAAAGTAAATCATCTTATCGCAAATAGAAAGTGACATATAAATTGAAAACTTTCCAAACATAAGCGATGAATAAATACTGAACCCCCCGTTAGTCAAACAACAGCAATCGTTGTTGGGTTCTCTCTCTCTCCTTGTTGTATTTTGATCAATCTCGTTCCCAAAGCTGTGATCTTCTCTGTCAGCATCGAGATTCCGTTGCCCGTTTCGCTGGACAAGAATACGAAAGGCTCTGGCGTCATGACTGAGACCTTTATACGACGTGTCTACTTTGTAACAGCCTTATATCTGACAAAATGCATTGAACAACATTTCTTGCGCGAGCGCCTACAAAATTGGACCAAGTTTCCGGTATTATCATCAGTCTGTATCATTTCAGTCCTGCTAGATAAATACAAACATGCTTTATCGGTCTCCTCCCCAAAGTAGCTTTTTAGAACAATCATTATTTACAATTATTACAAATTGCAATATTTAACTAATTACAACGCTTAACTCTGCTAACTTGTCACTGAACCTATTACTAGAAGACTAAACTTTTCACTTAAAGTGTTGCTATTACTAGATGACTAAACTTTTCACTTAAAGTGTTGTTGTTTGTTGTTGTTTTCGGAGCACCTAAAGAACGGGGAAAAGTTGCCACCCGCTAGAAGCATACAGACATAAAGAATTAACACCAAAATATCATCGCGATCGCAGCTTCTTTTCTTGATACTGAATACTGATCGAAAGCTGGGCTCACAAACGACTAATACGAATTTCTGCTAAGCAACGTTTTTTTAGAAAGCCAAAGACATGAGTAGAATGTCGTCTTCGTTATATTTTACACTTTCCTGTTCCTCAGTTTTCTCTTCACGGGACGAAAGCAGCTTTAAAAGAAGAAGCTTCTTTGCTTTACCTTCCAAAGCAAGATGATACTTCAACTTGGAAATCACACGGCTGTGCTCTTGCGTCATGGATCTATAGTAAAACACGAGAGAGATTACCAGAACTAACACGGGTAGGAGAAATGCCGCTGAACGCATAAACCGTAATGTCTTGTGAATCCACCCAGGCCAGCTTGACACAGCAGATGAAAGCTCGTCAATAATGAACCTATTGGCGTCGCATTCCTTGTTCTTGAATGGACCACAGAAAGAGGTTGGTACTCTGGTTACGCCCCATCCAACAAGACCAATACACATGAAAAACGTGAGGAGCAATAGAAGGGCAAAAATCGAACTTAGCCTTGCGCCTTGAACGGGTTTGTCTGGCAGGCGATTGTTATAAAAAAGACTCACTTTCTTTATGTAGAAGAACACGATCATTTTCAGGACCCCTAAGATTGGAAGAATGGGGCTGAAGAACGTGCCAATAAGAATAAGGCACTGACCGTAGGCGAGGTCAATGACATTCTGAGAGATGTCGAACTCGGTAATACCAACTTTCTCCCTAAGGCATCTGCATTTCTTGCATAAAAACTTCCGTAGAGTCTCAAGTCCGAGGGTGATCAATAATACCACGAAAAAATCCACCCACACCAGCATGTACATCTGCGCCGCGATCTCGTTTTCCCAGCACTGTTGGCAATGGGAGGACAAACTCTCGCTGTCCTGTATACGATCGTTAAGATCTTTATACAACAGGATCATCAGTACTGCAACCGAAGGAAGCTTGACAAGGATTCGTCTCAGCAGATTAAGCCCCAGCTCAAACTTTGGACCCCAGTCTTCAAACATGGACAGAAACTCGAAAAGCGGGGGCAGAATAAGATTAGGGATCGTGATGGCCAGAGACAGAGAAGACCTATAAAAATAAAGATGCCGATATAAGTATTAGAATTTTCCCTGTTGCAAAAGGGCAGAAAAAGTCAAAAAAGGGCAAAGAATTTAGCTCGCACTATAGATAAACTAGGAGAAAATATATAATTGTTTATTGCCTTTTTAAAAAGGCCTTGCGATGCTTTCCTCTTCAAAAAACAAAACTCATACTTCACATTAACATTTCGTCTACTGTATTGCAACTGAAAGCTAAGTGATTGAGGCAGATATGTTACTTCGTCTTTAGAACAACTTTCTGTTCCACAATAAGCATAAAAGTGTCTTTTTTTGCCCGAGTTTATATCCCTTTTAACTCGTGGATATGCGTAGAGTAGGCACCAGTTTTCTTTGGCAATGCTATATGCAAATATGTCACTCACATAGGCGAAACATCTTCGTATACGTAGTATTAAGAACGAGAGCGGCGGGCACAATATTAAAACCACAATTGTCGTAGATTGATCTTTTCCAAAGAACCTTTTGTTATCCGTGAAAAACGTATATAATCTAATAAATACTGAAGATGATAAATCATGTGAACTCTGGAAATACAAATATAAAGGAGCTATGTCATGAGCCTGATATTCTGTTTGAATATTTACCAATCAGTGAATAGCACTTTTCGCGAGTTGTGATTGCTGGCTCCCATAACTTGGAATATCCTTGGCTGTTCACTGTTTTGCGACCGGAGCCAAGATGGCGTCTCGTTTCGAGACATTTTCGGAAGACGAAATTTGAGCGATAAATGAAGCAGTCGTACAAACAAAAACCAAGAAAGCGACGAACTTTACCTTGTCGGTGTTTACTGGTAGGTAGAAAACTATTTTTTAAACAAAATCGTAGAAATGCACTTGACAAAATCTCTGAAATCTTTGTAAACTGTAAACAAACTTCCTACTAACTATAAAGTGACGTTTTTAATTTACAAAAAGTTACTTTTTTTCCATTTTTATCCCACTGATTTGGTATACACTAAAACAACTATTCCTCTCAGGTCGGTAAACAGCGCTACATATTCACCTCGACGCTTCGCGTCTCGGTATATTTTTTCACCACTATTCAACTCCCCTTCGGGGATAGTTGTATATTATAGGGCCAATTGCGCTGGTAAGTCATTGCTTGTTGCCTTTACCAATACAACAAAGGTTTCTGTAGAGTTATGACGAAGGTATTTTAAACAAATTTCATCAGGGAGAACTTACCATAAAAAATTTTTGGAAGATTTTTAGCAGGAATAGCATTAAAACTTGAAATATTGAGTTGGCCAACTCTTTCAAGTTTCAATCCACGTGTCGTCCATCCTTACCAGTCGACAGAAAACAGTTTCTATGCCTAAATATAGTCTAATACCTTCTTATCACTTATTTTCGCGAGGCTTAATTTTCGCGAATTAAAAAAAAATTCGCGAAATTAAAGACGCGAAGTTTAGTGACCTATATATAAAAAACCTTTATTTACGTTTTCCGTCTGCAAGGAGTACATTCGAGTAGGATGGCTCAAATTTAAGTTCAACGCATGTCCTTATTCCTCATCATCTGATTAATCTTGCTGAATGATTGGTGCCTTGGTTGCTCATATCAGTGTACTTTTAAAAGATGTTATGTTGCTGACATTGTTGAACATTTCGGCCGTTGCTTATTGCGTTTCTATTTCATTATGGAAATGGAAGTGTAAAAAACGAGCACCAGTGTACTTGACAGTCGCGAAATGTAATTACCTTGAAAAACGATGATTCGTCAGAATCGCGAAATTTGAGTACCGCGAAATATTTATATTCCAAATTCGCGAATTAAATTCACGAGAAAATAAGTGATGAGGTAACAAAACTGAGGCACTGTTTATGGAATTAAATTAATGCCAAAATTTTTTTCAGTTTTTGAAAACGACTTTAGCAAGTAGCGAGACACAGCCTCTTTAAATGAAGATATGATCACGCAGTTGTAATAGCAATTCTTAAGATCCTGGGGTTTCTTTAGGATGAACTTTTTACAGTTATATAGTTTAGAAATAAATTAAACAACGTTTTCTCGTGAAAATGCCTGCAAAATTCAGGAATTTTTGTTTCCCCCAATTTTTTCCTGATCATGTTTCTTAGTACTCCTATATTACAAAAATATCGATTTTGGGACAAAATAGGAAGTAGGAGATGAGAACGGCGAGAGTACATCCAAGAAATTTGGGTTCTGATAAAATCCTCCGTACGTACGTCCCGTGTCCACCCATTCACGTGAGCTGGGATGAAATTCACGTAAATCACATGGCCGCCCGGACTTTTAGAGGGAAAAACGACAACAAAGTAGAGTTGTTTTTCGACTAAATTTCAGTGTCTACACAGACGTGGGTAGCAAAGATGGAGCTAGAGCGAGTGAGAGACAAAAAACAAAAGAAGACTAATTTCGTTGGAAGAGACACATGAGAATTTTATAGCGGCGGTGAGAAAATGAGACTGAATGCTAGCGGCCACCAAGGTGAGAATAAGCGGTAGTGGAAAAAAAGACAGGAACATACTCCATAAAACGTCTATTAGACTACGTCGTAAAACTTCCTGGTTAAACTAGGCAGCCGCAAAAAAATTTACAAAAAAATTGTGCTGCACGTGCAAAGTTGTCTTTTTGCTAATTAGAGCAATTTTTTTTTTGCTGTTGTTTCGCTAGACTTGCTACAAGTCGACCTCTCATAAGTTCTTAAAAGTGAGCGGAGCGAGCTTTAAAGCATGAGGTCGCGCAGTGAGCGAGCGAGCGACGAAGTCAGGAAAAAAAATAAAGGACTTTTACAAAGTCTATTTTTTTTGCTTTGCTTTGTTTTGTTTTTGCGCCGTTCTTGTTGCCGTCGCCGTTATAAACAATTTTATTTTTGCTTGAGATATTAACGAGAGCTGCGCTTTTAGCCTTGGGTAAAAATCTATGTAGTAATGATTATCATTACCTTATAAGCATCTGCTCAACCTTACTGCGTCCTTCCTCTGTAACTTTCTTGCCAATGATAACTCCAACCACGAGTACAAATGAAACATACCACAAGGCCGGAACTATAAACAAGTTGATGACAGTCCTCGTCCCATAGAGCACCATTTTCTGTTTTCTAGACCTCTTTTGCACTCGAAGTAATCTTGCCTCTTCTTCTAATTCGAAGCGAATATCCTGCACGGTCATCTGCTTCTTGTGCATCGCGGCGCTCTTCTCAGAGATGCAGTAGTCCCAAGCGGAAAACAAACGGTTGCAAGAGGAATTGAAAACGCCCTCGCTGTTAATGTAACTCTCCTTTAGCCCAATGGATGCGCTGTGTATCATTATCACAAGGCAAGAGAGAAAGTAAGCTCCACCCGTTAGAAGGTATGCTAATGGTAAATGGTATCTGACTCCCTCTTGAGATACAATAGCATCAGAGGGATAGCTGCTGTAAAACATGATAGTGTTACTAATCCATCCCTGACCAGTGATAAAGTCTAACACCATTGTTGAAAAGCTGTTACCTGTCGAGTCGTCTGAGCCATTTTTGGCCGCATAATTAACCTCATATTTACAGCTCGTTACATTAATTGCGCTGTCACTGCCCGCGTCTGTACAAATCAACAGTGTTGGTAGGGAAACAAATCCAAATTCGATCAGAAACACAAATAAATTCAGAAACATGAGCCAGCGAAGGAAAACGAAATACGAAACCACCCCGCTTCCAAATTGCCCTTCAATGTCTTTAAGATGACCTCGCCACAATTCGAGAGAATAAATGCATTCTTTGAGACCGGTCTGGAAGTGCTTCCATCCCATTGCCACGTTCAATATAAAAACTTTCCACCCTGAAACTCTCCTAGGAGCCCTTGCCCTAAGTGACTGCTTATATCGTCGTCTAAGAGACATGGGTAGCGGAACAGCCTTAAAGTCGACATTCTCCAACACTTCTTCATCAGTCGATGAAATCGGTCCTGCCGTTGGCTCCTGATCACCATCGCTGCTCCAAGCCGTGGTCGGGGTATCATCGCGTTTACCTTGTCTTCTCAGCGCCCCCGATCGTTTTACAGAAGTCCCACGGCTTTTTCGTCTTGTTGTAACTTGGTTTCTCATAACAGTCGATGTTGTATGTCTTGCTACATGACTGGGAAGGTTCCGTATATACAGCCTGGCCTCGTCAATTTGTTCAGTACTTGAACCTCCTTCCATCAGGGAACGCATTTCAATTGATACAGCTGCCATTCTGAAAAGTCTCGCGAAAGTATAACCGTGTATAAATGTTTAAGTTGTGACTTCAGAATGCCCCCTCTTCACAGTGAAAACAGATATCATGATTTTACTGTCTGACAGTATTCAGACTGTTGCGTGACCTTTGCGTTGAGATTTCCAAAAGCAAACTTGGGGGCCAAAATTATTTTGGGCATGGGACTTTTTGTTTGGCGCTTTGATTGTATAGAATTAACCCTAAAAATCGCGTTCAGGCGTCACCTGGACCGTACTATGGTAACCGTACCTGATACCGCGGCAATTATAAGACTTTATATAAGAATTGTTTTTGCTCTATAAACTGGACGATCGGATTATTATTATGATTATTAGTAATAATCGTAGATTATAGTGCGTCTCCGCTTCCCGTAAAGCATCTTAATCCTTTTTATCCTACACTGATTTATGGAGAGTTGATTTCCACAGGAAATTACTTTTGCAAGAAATCCTGTGGTTTTTCCATAAATGAAACCTCTTCGGCAGAATCTTTGAAACCAGTGAAACCTCTATTAAGCGGACCCCCAATTAAGCGGACATCCTCTATTAAGCGGGCACTAAGCCAGATCCCGAAATTAACCTCTTATATTTCCCTTTATAATGAACCCCTATTCAGCGGACACCTCCATTAAGCGGACGCTGACACTAAATTAAAAAAAAAACCACCGGACTGAATTGACAATAGTAGTATTGGATTACGTCCTTGAAATATTAATACAATGTCAATAAACTGTATATTAGACCGAAATCCGGCCGTATGATTTTCATCCGCGATCAAAGTTCACCTAAAAGTCTTGCAGAAAGTACAGCACAGCTTCCTTAGCTTCCTTACTATGGAACTTTATCACAGTACCCCGGCACAGTACTAACCGTTGAATGTTAATCGTTAACAAACATTGCGCAATTTTTACAACCTCCATTAAGTGGACACCCTCAGTTATTAAAGCGGACACTTGGGAAGGTCCCGATGGTGTTTCACTTTGTTTATTTGTAACGCAGATACTAAATGGTGCATGGCACGCTCGGTATGCTGGATCTTATTGTGACGTTTCAGGATGGCGCAGATTAGCCTGCGTAGCATGGCGGTTTTGGTTGGGCGCGCTAAGTAATATAGGCGGGCGGTCAGGCGGGCAAAAAACCGCCATGCTACGCAGCCTAGGCGCAGATCCGCCCACGAGCACATAGAACAGCCAACGACTCAATTAGGAAGCGTCTCCTTCGTCGACGCAATTATTATTATTTACCAATATTTATACAGGAGTTACCGTTTTATTGTGAGCTAATATCAACGGGGTGGGGTTCTTATAAATAAAAATTATTGCGGGCGACAAGAGGAGCTCACAATCCCAAACTCCAGGTTATATTCCGCAAGCACCTCATGGATGTAGCCAGCTGCTTCAAGATATCCATGAAAGGGGTACATTTTTTCTCAAAAATGGTATATACATTAATGGGTAAAGGGTAGAATTATAAAGATCAAGAGTTGCACCGCTTTGCTGCATGCTGCTTCAATCTGGGGAATTCTTGTAGGTCTTTGGTATGTATTGAATTTCATTTCATGTAAGACCTTATATGGTGTCCTAAGCCTACCCCGGGTACCAGAGGTTTTTCTCGCGTGCGGCGAACATTTTCGGTGTTGGCCAAAGGCCGAAGCCACGAGCGGTCACTGTAAAGACTTGACAGAAACCGGAAACAGCGATAGAAAAGTCTCAGGCACCCAGGGTATCCTAAGCCACACCTGCGCCATAATTTTGGCACTTTGTGATTTGATCGATTTGTGTTTATGGAGCAAGGGTTATATCTTACCGGGAGTAAATGCAAAAGAGGGAGACTCCAGATTCTAGATCTCCAGAAGTTGGTATTTCTGTCCCAAGGTTAGCCTGCGAACAACAGACGTATTTCCGGTCGTCGCTTCTCTCCCTCTAGCCTCCCACGCAGGCGTCTTTAGGGGAGCTCGTTTTTCATCCCTCCCTAAAAACGCCTGCGTGGGAGGCTACTCTCCCCCCGAAGGAAGGAGGGAGAGAAGCGACGACCGCAAATACGTCTGCTGTTCGCATGCTATCCCAAGGTCTACATTCATTCTGATGTATTCCTCCACTAATCGGGTTACAGCGGCGTGTGTACAAAGGTCTTTACGGAATCCGTACTGGTTCCCCTCTGAGGAGTTTTTAAAATAAAAGGGGATTAAATTTCCCCTTTTTCAGGGTTTGAAGGCCTCCGCGCCACTTCCCTTGAGGGACCCCTTACAGGTCCTTCAGGTTGGGGACTGGCTCTGCTGTTTTGCGCGCAATTTTACGCAGTTATTCCGCTGACCAAAAGGATCGCACTTTGGGAACGAATGGCTTTATGGCTGGTTAACTTGTGTGTTTTTTATCTTCCCTGATTACGTACGTAAAAAAAGGAAACAGACGGTCCACAATGGCTGATGTTAAAGCGCTGGAGTACTCTACCATGAAGGTAGGATTATACCTAGTCTTTCTGAGAAGTGTTGTGCAGTTCAAACGGGAGCTCGGTCATACCTCTCATATCGCAAAATGTCGGTTGTTTCAGCAGTGCAGGACATAACTGGTCAACAACAACAACAACCTTTATTCGCCTTTATCATATTTAACCTTAATATTTCTTCAATACCATATTAACTAGGCTGGGGGATCTTAAGCAAGCTCTTTTGAGCTTTTACAAGTAGGATCTCCCTCCCTATGTATCTAACAATAATTTTTTTTTTCAAGTTAGGCGTATAGAATGCAATGTAATTTAAATCATCATAATTTAATATGGTATCTACTGTTATACACATGCACTATGTATTCCTGTTTTAAGGTCCACTTAAAAATAATTCATGGTGGAAATATGTTTTTAACGACTTTTTACATTTTCTGTCTGAATTTGATTCCTTTAAATCAGCTGGTAAATTTTTCCACACATTTTCCATAGTTTGTTCTGCTGCAATTGACCAGTCTGCAGAGTATGGCAGGTGCACACACGAGTTTTTTTAATGATATATAAAAAATAAGGGCCTAAAAACGGCCTTGCACGCGCGAGATCTCGTTGAGTTCTGCCATACTCTGCAGACGGGGCAATTGATACGCATATTTGATGAAGATCGAGTATTGTAAGAATAAATGTTATCGTTTGTTGTAAAATAATTTTTATGAAATGGTGGTAGTGTGTCATGGAAGTACAGATACATAATATTGCTGTGAAATACAAACTAATTTCATTTATATATCCAGTGTCTCTAGAGAAATATAGAGTGGTCTACTCTCCTCTTTATAAGCAGATAAGGTCATAGTTCTAACTGAACTAATAAGTTCAAATACTTTTTGCAGTTTTGGTTCTTCTCAATTTTCCATAAACAAGCCTTGACTGTATCTCTTATGCTTGATTTTATTATAAATCTGATGATTTTTTGTCAGTATTGTTGGTATTTCCTACTACAATGCATTTGAACAAGATCTACATAGTACAGCCGTGAATCTTTTTTCACTGTAAGCTTATTAATGATGCGACTATTAATAGGGAATGACTTTAAAGGGTAGTTGTTTAATCTAAACCTTAAGAGTGAATAACAGATACTTATAAAAGGCAGCAAAAGAAGAAAAATGTAAAGAATTCAAAAGGACACCATCCTCGGAGACCAAGGGGCAGATAGTGGGGACGAGGGAAAGTCTAAATGGGTGGAAAAATATGGCACGAAGAAAAGTAAAGATCGGCGAGAAGAGCCCCTGGGGACAATGTCTTACCAGACCAGTTCCAAACGGTCGCCGCCGTTCTGTCTTCTGATTGGTGCCAGAAAACTTGTGTTTTTCTGGCACCAATCAGAAGACAGAACGGCGGCGACCATTTGGAACTGGTCTGGTAAGACATTGTCCCCAGGGGCTCTTCTCGTCGATCTTTACTTTTCTTCGTTCCATATATATTTTTCAACCCGTTTAGACTTTCCCTCGCCCCCTTTATCTGCCCCTGGGTCTCCGAGGATGAAAACACACCAAAGCTGAGGTGATTATTGTCATGACTATTGTCAAAGTTCATAGTTTGTTAGTAAAGTAGACAGGAGCATATATAGGAATAAAAAAAAACTATAGGAAAAACATTGTGATGCAAGCAAAAGCACAGCTCTTCATTACTTTTTCTTGTTCTTCTTCTTGTGCTTGTGTCAGAGTTAAACACAAGCAACAAAAACATGGCCTTAGTCAAAATACCCCTCTTCTTCCACCACTTCTCAACGGATTTTTTATCCCTCTGCACCTATCATTCTGGCTGAATTATTGTCCTTATTGATAGTGGAAGTCTCCTTGTGACTGAACTTGTGTGGCCAGCCAGTTCTGATGAATGGAAAGCACCCTGAAAATTAATTAAGACAGCATTACCATGATTATCTTACAAAATTCCAGAAGGACTAACATCATCAACGCTGGCTGAAGTATCTAGAGCTCTCGCTTACTAAACGAAGCTGACCAGTGTTTGAATTGTTGATATTTGCAAGTACTTGAAGTTTTTTCTGAAATTGTCTGAATTGTACAGAACACAGCCCAATAGGTTTAATCACACTGGAAATTTGGAAAGAATGACTAAATAATATTGTGCAGAGCATAGAATTTAATCGTAATGTTTGAATTTAGGTTCCTTATGAGATACTCAATAAAAAGTTTCGAGCAGCCCAGAAAGTGATCGACAGGGAGGTGTCTCTTGTCGTGGGAGCGACAAATGATTTAACAAACAGTCTCGGCAGTGTTCCAGTTAAGGTTGGAGAGATCACTGGCTTCTTGGATGGAGTAGTACAAAAGTTACAATCACTGAAAAGAAAGGTAACTCATACCAGTAAATTCCAATCAATTTAGGTTTCTTACCTACCCCTCCCCTAAGCAGGGTGCAAAGAAAGTCAGTTTTACAGCTTAATTGCTATTTGGGAAAGGTGCAGCTAGCATGTACTAGCCCAACTGTCATTTTTATTTGATTCGTAAATTCTTCTTCCTTGAGGAAATTAATGTTAACAACTTACTCTAGGTGGGAAGAATTCACCAGTCTAGATTGTTTGAGTTGTAAAGTTGAATCTAAATTGGAAGATCATGCACTTTAAGGATCACATGGAACCCACTCTCTAAATTTCTTCAGCCAAATGGTGCTGCACACAGCTTTTACTGGTATATTTTACTCTAAAATGCTCGTTAGCAAGGGAATCTTGCATGTTCTTTATGACAAGTCGCTTTTTAATCTTGCTTGCATAAGTAAGTTGTATTTAGGACACAAAAGGGGGTCATTATGCCAGGCATTCCTTGCGGAGACTGTAAAGACTGGGACTAAGAATCATTGTGTGATGGAAGCCATGCATGTTTTGTGAAGAAAGCTTAGGAATGGTTAAAGTTAGAGCTTTTCCAAAACGTGTCTGTCCACCATAAATTCTATTGCTTGAAAGCGTTGATTACTTTGGAACAAGTACAGTAAACACTACTGAGTGGTTGAAACAAAATAAGAATCTTAATTAGCAAAACGGCAATGGTCGGGTGTTGTAAACTTTCATTGTATGGTGAGCATGCGGTTTATTTTCGGTGATGATTGAAATGTTGTGCCATGAACGTGTCATATAAGTCACTTTTTTTATCTCTAGCAATGATGTAATTTCTCTTGAATCAAGGCCCTTGAATTTTTTTTTTATATACTCGCGTATAGCCTACAACCACAGACATATTTCTGGTCGTCACTAACACGCATACTAAATCAATAATTTCAGAAACAAATAACAAGTATCGACATCGATAAAGTAGGAAGTAAAAACCTTTAGCGGGTAAATCCTGTTTCGTGTACAATTAATCACCTCCTCATTTCTCGATCTAATCTCCAAGTAAGCGAGACTAAATGCCAGCAATCTAAATATCATTGATTTGTTAGTCAGAAGAATGTTTTGCTCAAGAAGAAGCTTGCTTGCGGCATTGCCGGGCTCGTCTGGATCATATCAAAGAGCATGCTGATGAGCGGAAGAGTGCTCTGATAATATGGAAAAAGAAGCGTCTTGATAGGATGCTGGTGGATCACTGTCTACGATCTGGCTACTATGACACTGCAATTAAACTTGCCAAGGATTCACAGATAGAGGTGTGTCATCATTAAACTATTCCAGATACATCTATTTTTATATTGAACTTCTGTTACTGTTTCGGTACTTTTAAATTTAGGATGTAAACGCTAACCGTATATATATGTTATTCACCGGCTGGGAGGTCTGTATTGGGAGAAACTGTGCCCGAGGTCTTGAGTACTCAGACTGAGGGCACAGTTTCTCCCAATACGAACCGACCTAGGCCGGTGAATCACGTTTTTATTTTTTTCGTACTGAGATTTAAAAGTTTAAGGAAAATTTTACTTCAGCCTCCAAACTATGTGTGTTGAAGAAGGGTGCATTCGTGTTGAATTGTTATTCAAAGCGCGCTATCGATTGCAAACCAAAACAAAATATTATAACATGATTTTTAACTTGTAATTTATATTATCACAATTAAGCTCTCTTTAGAATAAAGAAAGGTTTTTGTGTCTTGGTAGACAATTGATAATCTGAGTGTCAAACAAGGATAAAGAATTGACGAACTTAAAAGCCACAGGAAAGAAAATACAGCAAAGATTTTCTTTGGCTGAATGTTTACTTTAAGATTAATTCAATCGAGTGGGATAAAAATGGCACAAAGGCTTTATAAAAAGAGCTAATTACACATACCAATCTTAGGGCTTTGAAGTGAAGGCAATATGGGTAATGAAACAATTATATAAACAAAGAAATAAAAACGGCGATGACTGACTGCTGGAAAAGTTTTTCGTGTTGTTTATTCAAGATTGAAAGCTACATGTAATCATTGACAACAACCTTTTCTGAAAAGTAGAAACTAGTGAGGCAAATTCAAAGGAAAACGGCAGAATCTAGATTCAGACAGCAGCAAAAATGGAAAACAAACCTACAAACAGAGGAAAAATGTCGAATAAACGGTGCATAAGAGCAAGATTGCAGTACTTACAGCGTAGGTTAAAAAGCTAGTGAAGCGACATCACGAGCCACCTGTTTTGTTTTACTTTAGCGGTTTTCCTGGCTCACTTGCTTGATTCTCCTTTCAGATGTTTTGTCTGAATAACAAAATTCACTTTTCCCTAGCTAATGCTAATAATAGCACAAGTTTTAAAAGAAAAAATGTTGAAAAGTCACTGGTTTTGCTCATTCACAAACAACAAACAAACTTGTGAATAAAACTACCAATGATTCCGCGCGGGTTAGTGGGTAAGATTGTGAAAAACCGCTCGCTCTTGGAACCAATCAGATTGCAGGATTTGGAGGATTCCGCCCGCTCGCAAGCTTAGAAAAAAATAAAATAATATATTATTATGTACACTAAAATATAGAAGTAAAAATTTATGTATCTTATCTGTACATTTAAAAATTAAGCAACTGTTTCAATTTGATCAGAGGCAGTTAAAAGTTGCATAATTGTATCAAAAGGACACATCATTAATTTTTTGTAGCCTGCGAATGGCAGATGTTTCTCCCTGCTCATCGCTGCTGTGGGACGTTTCGTGAGGAGGAACATCTGTGACTCAGCAACAGAAATTCCATACTGATGACTTAAATCTATGTTTACATAATAAATCCGGTAATCATGGGTTTTATGCAAATTTGTTCAATTTTACAATTCTCCTGATTGGTAAAGTGTTGTGTTCATCTGCGAATGAGCTCCAGTGGAACTCAAATGCTTCTTCTTGAGAAGACTATATTCCACAAATATTGGCTGTTTTGTTAGAGATTCATTGCTTTTACATTTGACTTTTGCGGCTTTTTGTCTTTTGTCTGTCATTCGTAAACAATAGCTAAAACAATAAAACTACTCCGTTGACCAATTAGCACTTCTGACCTGATTCTGGACAGATTTTGCATCATCAGTATGGAATTTCTGTCGTTGAGTCGCAGATGTTCCTCCTCACGAAACGTCCCTCAGCGACGATGAGCGATGAGAAACATCTGCCGTTTGCAGGCTACATTTTTTCATATAGCACAATTACTAATAACTACTGAAGAAACTCTGCCCGTAACTCACTTGTAGATAAACCAGAAAAATACAGGTGTGCCAGCTTGCTACACTGTACCTGATTATGTGATTTAATTTTCCCCTTTTTCTCAGGATTATGTGGACATTGAACTATTTTTGGTGTCAAGAAAAGTTGAAGAATCTCTTTTAAGAAGAGAATCAGGACCTTGTTTAGCTTGGTGTTATGAAAATAGGTCCAAGCTAAGGAAGTTAAAGGTGTGTTTGTCAATGTTGTAGTTCAATTTCATTGTTATTGCAAATTTCTTTGCTCTGTTTTGGTCGATGGTAATTTATAGTTATGAGTTTGAAACAAGGAAGATATTTAATTTGCATAAATTACATACAGTTGTTCATAAGGAATAGATATATGTTATAAATTTATTTATAGTGTACTTTCTGTATCAAAGCCAAAGTGACTAAATAGAAGAAATTATATTGATGTGCAAATTTTAAGGCCCCCTGGAACCCATTCTTGCTATTTACCCTCTGACTCTCGCTAAGGAAGACCTCTCAGTAGAGGTTTGACAGTACATGGTTCTATTACCTTGTATCAAGATTCCACAGCAAGACTTATTTTTAAGATGCCAAGGTTTTATCACATCTCACAAATTCTGTGTACGCTTCATTGCCTTCCAGTAGAAGTTAGGATTCATTTTAAGATTATTATAATTACTTTTAAAGCGATCCATGGACAAGCTCCGGTATATCTACAAGAACTCATTATGCTTCAAATGCCAACTTTAACTAAAAAAACATTGGGTGACCGTGCTTTTTTAGCTGCAGCACCTAAACTGTGGAACGGGTTACCATCACAAATACGAAAAGAGCCCAATTTTAATAGGTTTAAAGGTTTACTTAAGACCCATTTTTTTAGATTAGCTTTTTATTAGGGTTTTTTTTTAGGATTATGTATATATTATATTTTTATAGATCCATTGTTTTTTTATATAATATTTTTAGTTATTTTGGATAACTTATTAATGTTGATAATTTACTTTCATGTAATGTGCATTTTGATCATATTTACATGTATTTTGCGTAATATAAATATTAAATTATTATTATTATTATTAGTATCAAGATAACATTCTATTAGCAGTTACATCAGCCTTAACCTGGTTTTGGTTAGTTTGTTGATATACATGTACATAATTTACAGTCTTTGTTGAAGAGAGCGCTCCTCCCCTAGACCTCATTGTTTGAAATGGCTTAACAGAATAATTATATTATTATTTGCAACAAATACAGTTTTCAATGAAAGGGGTTAACTAAGGCAACCAAAACAGTTTTTTCTCCTACAGAAAAATTATTTCAACAAGTTGAAAGCAAGCCAAACCATCCCTACAGTACCATAACAATTCTAAGGAGAGATTTTTTTAAAGTTATTGTGCATTGTATTTTTAAAATATATTTGTCAGAGTAACCTTGAATTCAATGTGAGAATGCAAGAATTTGTTGAACTTGTGAGAAGAAGTGAAAAGATGGAAGCAGTTAGGTATGAAGCATCATAAATGCTATTATAATGTTGATACCTTGGTGTGGGGCAAGAATAATAACATTACGGTATTTCAGGAAATCCTAGTTAGAAAGGACGTTTTTAAACTTTCCAGGGCAAACAGAAGGTTTGACAAGATACAAATTAATGTACATGTAGTCCTATTTTCATGGTTGGATCTTTTTCAAACAGAAATTTGTTGTCTATTAATCTTCAAACCTTATTTTTGATGCAAGTTTCCTCAGTTTTTTTCAGCCATCTGGGGATGGAAGTGATTTGTGCAAATGTCTGCATTATCTTCATGTGTAATCCATTATTTTAAAACATTTTGGACAGAATCCTATTGGTCTGTTTGCACTCTTTTGACTAATTTGTTAATTTATTATAGAACAGTCTTGTACTTGTTTGAATTTCCAATAATATTATGGATTATAATTGTAAGTTTAAAAAGACGTGATGCAGATTAAGGAAAGTTAAAAATTTGTCAGATGTTTGTCAGAAACTATGTTCTTCTGAGCTCTACAAGTTCAATGACCTTGACTATCATGTTCAACACAGTCAGACTCTACTAATTATTGGAGTATTGTTTTTTTGGTATAATAGAAAAATGTACAGGATTTATTCTCAGCCAAAAAGTGGTATTGTACCTAGATAATGAGGTACATACATTGTATTGCATACAGGCAATCTTTCCTTTGTAGATAAATGCCTCATGTTGCATAGTACACTGTATATCTGTAGATGTTAACACATTTTTTTTTGTTGGATGTGACAGGTATGCCAGGAAGCATTTCCCACCAGCAAATATTGATGGCACAATGACTAAGGAAATCCAAAGAGCAATGGCTTTGCTGGCTTTTAAGCCTGAGACTAGCTGTTCACCATATAGGGTAAATAAAATAAATAAGACACTCTCTCCTACTTGTAGGCAGATTTCTGTTTGACTGGGGCCAATGAAGAATATAGCTTTTTAATGTAAATTGTAGCTGCTAATAATTATTTGAGAGGGAAAAATGCCTGGGGCTTTTCCAACTACACAGTACATTCAGGAATCTGATGACTAAGAGACAAAGATGCTTCATCTCCCACAAACAAAGTATTTTATAATCTTTTAGAACAATCTGATAGAAATCTATAGAATCAAATTAGCAAGGATGAACACCATCTTTTCTTAAAAGACTCTTTCCACAGGCTGTGAAGAAAAACAACTTAAAAAATTATAACTTTTTAGCAATACCAATCTACTGATATGTATTCAGAACTCCTAATTTCCTTTTTGTTCCTTTTTTTTTCTTTCTTGGTTGTGCATCATTCAACAGTTTTTAATCTGATTATTTATTATGTTTGTAACTTTTGATATGTACCGGTATTTTATCGAATGAATAAAGATTATTATTATTATTATTATTATTATTATTATTAAAGTGGATGCTTGCAGTTTTTTCATTGAAAATCAAATATTGTTCAATTTATTGTACATTATTTGAGTAAGCAGTGGTACTTGTTGTTCTCAGTCTGTTGGTTCAGTACTGACTGTTTTTTGGGGGGGATGTATTATTATTCCAGGAGTTGTTTAATTTGGAGAGATGGACTCAGCTAGTAATGCAATTCAGAAGGGAGAATTATCAACTTCATCAGCTTAATGATCAGTCTACATTAGCAGTAACCCTCCAGGCAGGACTGTCAGCTCTGAAAACACCGTATCCTTGTTTTATGTATAATACCCTAAAATGCAGCAGCTAAAACAGTACAGGTATATCTCACTCCTTATAATGTTGCTGCTTTATTGAACATAAAGGTCACTGAGATAAAAGAAATGAACACTAAAGTTAAAATAGATGTCTTGGTTTTTTAATAAATATGGAGAACAGTATGGAGAATTTACTTGTTGATAAAAGTGTAAAAAGGGTTAATTTTTTATTATCAAAATGCAACTTCTCCTTTCTCATCTTCATTTTGTTTCTATATTGTATAGACAATTTAGAGAGTAAGTGTGAAGATGCCGAGTTTTCTTTAGACTACGAGTAGTCCCCATTTTTCCTCAGGGATAGTAGAGCGAGCGAAACGCGAGCGTGCGTGGGGTGATTTCCATGCGCGCTCGCGTTTCGCTCGCTCTACTATCCCAGAGGAAAAATGGAGATTACTCGTAGTCTAAGTTTTCTCATGACCTGCCTGATGATTAATTACCTGAAAGAGCAAAGGAAATATTATAATAAAAAAAACCACCCACAAAAAAGAAGAACATGTTGGAAAAAAGAACCAGTGAACTTATACATTGTATCCAAGTTCTAATTTCCAACAAAGACCAGCTCTCATGAACTTAGTTCTGTAAGACGGGAAAAGACGCAACGTAGGCTCTAGGGATTGTTTGGAGGGACAGCAAAAAAACATGGCGCACGGCAACAAGCTACCTGTTGACCAGGGCGGATAAAGGTAGGGCGGTGAAACGAGCGCGTCCGAGCAAAAAGGTGTGATGCAGTGGACTGGGACTATGTTTAGAAATGTGGCTTGTCTTCGACTTCGGTCGGGGCTTGTGATGTGGTGTGTACATAAGACACTGCCGCTGTCACTGAATTATGGCGCCTTGATTTGTTTTCTTGCACTTCTTCCTCGTTCCTTTGTGCTGGTACGCTGTCTCCGAGAGGCAAATGTTGCTATTTTTTGCGGGAGGTTTAGTTGGAGTAGACAAACATCTCTTTCAAAGGGTTTCTTTTATTACTTCCATGACTCTACCACTGAATTATATTTTCGTTCTGCTACTCGCCAATGTCGATGTTATTCCAAAACAAAAACAACTAAGTACTGTCTAAAGCACAAAGGAAAATCTCATCGATGTCATCCATGGCAAAACTAAAAGACAGCAGATCGTGTTTCATAACAAGATGACGTATATTTTATAAATGCGTGCAGCTCGTGCAAGGTGAAATTATGCTAATTTCAATCACCATCATCCTTCTTTTTAATTTTGAAAAAACTTCTCATACGTCTTTCTGTTTCTTCGAAACTTCAAAATTAGTTTCCCCTCAGTTTTTACTGTTTACCTTGTTTTGTTTTAGAGAGAAAACGGAGAAAAACCTTACAACTAACCTCAATAAATTTTGTTTACATTCGGTTGCCGGATTTGCAACGCATTGCGCGAATCGCCATGTCGCGTTGCAAACGAGAAGCAAAGTTTGAAGAAGTACAACGCCACTATATCAATATATATCAATCTAATTTTTTGTTATGTTATATAAAATTTATCCCCCTTTAACATATTTAAAAATTGAGGTTAAGAAGTGTTAAGCTTTTACAAACGAAACGGTGAAAGACGATTAGGTGATATTTAGTGGAAGGAGGAGGTATTCAACACTTTCAAATTAAACTCAAATTTTGGCATTATACGACCAACAAGTTTGACCTATAGACGTACAGTGACAAACATATGAAACTGTTTATTGATATTGTTATGAAACGAATTTATCTATTTAACATTGTAGCCTGAAATTACAGAAAGAAAATAGGATTTCCGGTTTGCAAAAAGGAAAATTTCGCCGGCCTTCAAGCGCACCGGAAGCGCGGAAAGAGCGCTCGTGCCAGTCCTACTCCGCATCACACATTAAATGAAGAGCGGAGCGCTCGTTTCACCGCCCAACCTTTATCCGCCCTGCTGTTGACCTTCCTGCTGTCGCGGCCACCCTACCAAGTACCAAGAGGAATTTTGCTTAACCCATGCGTGGAAAACTTAACCACCTCTCGAGGAACCATACGCAGTTGTTTAGTCCTCACCCTCAAAAAAGGTCCTTTTTACGAATGTGTTGTTTTGGTGAAATACACTGTTTCCTTAACACTATTGTTAGTCACTGTTATCAAGAAGGTCACAAGAGTTCAGAGTGCCCAGTATGTAGCCACCCCTTGAACATCTTAGGCCGTCCTTTGCCCTATGCACACTGTGCTCAATCCAGGTTGGTGTGTCCAATCTCAGGACATGTCATGAATGAGAATAACCCACCTATGGTACTTCCCAATGGATACGTGTATGGAGAAAATGTGAGTAGCCTTAAAATTAGTATTTAACTTGTTCTAGGGGGTCTTTTTTAAGAAAGACCAGGACCTTGAAGATTTTGATGGACTACTGTTTTACAGACTGCAAAACAGTCCGTATTTTTGCTTATTCAAGTACGCGCGAGCAGTCAAACAAAAGGTCTGGAACGAGACTGAAAACAGAGAGCGAAGTTGAGACGCTAAAAATACGGTGTTTTTTCTCTGGCCTCACACGCCCTTCGGGCGTGTGAGACTCGAGGCGCTTCGCGCGCAAGTCTATTACGCCACGCTTTACCGATTTCTTTACTGATTTTGAGGAAAAAACCGACTGTTTTGCAGTGTAACTGTTTTAATTCCAGTTGAAATTTTAAGCATTGCGCGCATACGGTAATTACGAAAGAATTATTGCCCTGTCAGAGATCGAAGGGGATGAGCGCAGCGAACGAGTGAGATTCTGAAACAAAACAAGAGAGAGCTAAATATGAATGGAGAAGAGGTTGGGTTATTTGAGAGATCACGGCGTATGAAACGTCTTCCTCATTTCCACTAATTGATAATAAATTATAGGGTACTTACCACTTACATGGGAAACCGGAAATCCCGCATGGAAAATCAAATGGTGCACGCCATTCCGTTTGGGAAGCTTCGGAAAACATGGGCTTTGATTTCAGGCAATGCAGTTTTTCTACTCTCTGATTTGGATATACTTTTTAGCGGGCCGTTCTCCCACCACGTCAAATTTTATAGTTTTATTTTCATACACAAGATTTCCACCAGGGTGGTTTGTGTAAATGGTAAGCATCCATAATCTCCAAAAAAAAATCTTTGGAATGATCCTCCACGATTTATTGACATCACTCTGGTCAGCATTGCACACTAGCAACTTTTGTACAAGTAAGGTGTATCATGTATTCAACATAAGGGTTTCTAATGTCAAGAGGCGGAAAACTTGATCACCTCTTGAAGAGCTCGTTCGACAGTAATAAACATTTAATGACTGGTCCCGAGGGTCGTCCCGAGGGAAACAGTTATTAAAGAGGTTTAGCTTCACGTTTACGTCAAACGGCAAACGCGAATTTGTAACACGTGACCAAGTTTCTTGGTTACTGTTCATTATTTCTACACATAAATTACTTGTTTCACGCAATTCAATTCAATTCAATTCAATTCTTTATTTCACACTATATAAGATAATTACGTGAGTGTACGAAGGTAGGAAAATAAAGTAGCTGACAAATAATAATTAACTAAAAGACATTAAGTTCTTTTATGTACAGTGTCCAAAGTAGTAAGAGCTTTCTTGTTGGACACCGTCATATTGAAATAATTGGCAGCAGTAAAGAGAGGAATAAAATCTCAGATAACATCAGTGATAGAACATATAAGCAAGGTCAGATTTGGTTGGTGAATTGTTTGAATTGTTTTCAGCAGTTTTATCTGCTCATTTCCTATTTCGAGAAATTCTCAATTTGAATCTGTCGTTTGCCGTTTGCCGTTTGCCGTTTGCCGTATACGTGAAGCTTAAACTCTCTAACTTTCGCCAGAATCTCAACGCCGAGGGAAACATTCAGATTCGAGGAAGCCAAATGAACTGTTTCCCGAGGGACCAGTCTTTAACGGCGGTCGTCGGTCAACATTCGCGGGTAACACTGCGCTGTTACCCTGTGACGTCATAGATTTTGCAATGTTGCCCGCTCAGAGATCTTGGCGGGAAACAGTTTGATTGCTAGATGTCATGTGACTTCGAAGTAACCAATGAGAGCGCGAGCTGTGGGGAAAAGATTTGCGGCTATTTAATAATTAAAAGGCCTCATGGGCTATTGACTCAGAGGCCATGAGGGCGAGAGGAATAATTGTTTTAGTAAATAATACATAAATAATATACCACTAGTTGGATTTTACTAAATAACAATAGTAGATGTTGAGAGTTCTTACAAACACCCTTAAAGGGGTGTGGTCCATCATTGCGGGCCTTGCTATTGTTACTCAGTGTGGCTGGGGATGTTTCTTTTATTTCATTTACAGGCGTTGCATGGGATGGCAAGTGAGAATGATGGCCACGTCATATGCCCGAAAACCAAAGAGTCCTTCCGAGTTGATCAAGCTGAGAAAGTATATGTTATGTAGGAATAAAGATCAGTATGCTCTGTGAGTTGAGAAATATAATGCTACTTGAATGGCTAGCACTTGACCTTTGTTCACACAGTACATATGGTTTTTTGTAACGGATATTACAGCGTCGCTATATTTGAGGAGCTGGACCCTTTCACTTGAGTACAGAATTCACAGGTAGCCTGAAGTTTGGCAGTTTCGTTAACAAGTACAAGCCCAGAAACAAAACGACAACATTAAATTTAGAAAAAAAATTGAGTTTTTTACATCTGGAGTCGCAGAGGGTTTTTCAATACTAAATCATGTAAAAATGGAACGGCGAAGCCACAAGCCTCGTAAACCGTGGACTCGGTTTGTTGTTTGCATCCCGGGAAAGTAATTATTGAATTAAAAACGACAACAACAACAAAATACCCCTTTTTACAAAGAAATATATTGCGGCTGTTACAGCTTACCGACAAAACGTTTCACTTTATAAAACTGTAGAACTTCTTCTATTAATTGTTAATATTCATAATGTCGAATTTTTTTGTGCACTATTTGTTTCATTTTACTCGGTGTTTGAAAATGTAGCTTGCGTGGTAGGCGCTGGAAAGGCGAGGGAGGCGGAGATAGGAATTTGGGCACGCGAGAACGCGAATGCCCTCACGAGCCCAATGTTCTTCCATTCTCTCTCCAGTCACGTTCGAACGCTTGTTGTGCAGGTTATAAATATTAGTGCTTCTTGGATTGTTCTTTTACCACAGGTAGCGCAGACTCTGTGGGAGTTGGTTAGACTTTGAATTTATAAGAGAATGTATGAAATAAACAAAATAGGCCCTAAATTCCATTTTTTTTTTTGACAAAAATAGAAATAAAAATGACTTACCTTGTGTTTGTGTTGTGTTTTTTACTGTCTGTTCGCTTCTAGAGCCATTTGGAAGCTGTCTTATCGACGTTTTAGATTTTGAATTGCGCTAACAATAAGAAATAAGTAGCAGTTGTTTAGCTCAGCAGTTGTCATTCGTCGAGTTGTATCTTTTTTGCTGTTTTTGCTTTGCTCTTAGGCAGTTGGCTATTTCTTCGTCGCAAAACGTGCGAAATTTTCCACCATTTTCTCGGCGCTACGAAAACAGCTGTGCTAAAAACGTAACCTCGGCCTCAAAGCTTCTGGGTTTCCGTTTCTTTTTCTAGCGATATCCTGTACTATTGACGTCATTTTATAGGATAATAAAAACGTCTTCCAAATTAGGTCAACGTCTGCTGGTCATGAAAAATTAGCTGTGGAACTTAATCCAATCAGAAACGGAGAAATATTTTGAGTGAATAATAATTATAATGTTAATTAGTTAAGGCTGCGCAATCAGTGGAGGAAGGCGTTGGTTGCACATTGGCTATAGTTTTGAGTACCCTGATAATTGACAACAGCCGACTTTCTTCTATGTCAATAAACTGAAGGCAGGATGCTACTGATTTAACATGATACTTTTATAGCAGCTTAACCGATAAAGGGCCCTATAACTTGGTGAATTTCATTTACATTACCGAATAAACTTGTATAGTAGAAAGACCAAATGTTAACTTGTGCCGTTCGATACCTCCGCCATGTAAGCAGTTTATGTATCTGCTATTAATTCACCTCCATCAAAATGATGATTCTTGCGAATGTTTCAGGTGAGTGACCTGATTTCGACAACCAAAATATGTATAATCAAACCTCGTTAATTAATACGGACACTGAATGAGCCATAGAAAGTGTCCGCATTCACGGGTGTCTGTATTAAACGGTTTAAATGTAAGGCTCTCCCCAGGGAAAAGGAAAACTGTCCGTAATAACGAGGTATGCATGATTTACCGTGATAATATTAATATTATATACAGTTCACTGTATATGTAAGGGAGATGAGATGAGACGAGAGTTCGTCTTAGCCAGTTGCATTTCTGCTCTCAAACGGGAACATTTTTAAACCAGTGGAGGCCGTTTTTTTGAAATCTCTATCCTCATTTGATGTTGTGACTTGGGCAGGAACGACCCTACAGCTCGTGCACGTACAGCAAGGAAACTGCAACAAAGCTAACATGTGCTTTCGAAAACGATCGCTCTGCAAGCTATACAGCACTGGGTTTATAGCGGAGTTGAGTGTTACAAACACTATACTTGTCGTGTGTACAGAGGAATATATCTGTAGGCTCGTAAACGAAGATATCACGTAAATAGCCAACACTGGGATCCAACAAACGGAGTAAATCACACTGACTGTTACAACCAGCCGTGCAGATTTCTTGCGGTATCTCAGCTTGTTCTGTTGTGCAATTGTTGAGCTGGAACTGATGGGACGAAACCATAGTTTGTAAACCAGCTTAGAATACAGGTAAATCATAATGGTGATTGGCAAGGCACCGTATACCACAGCGCATGCGGGACTGTGAAACTTCGAGAAGTTAGCACTTGGCCAGTGGAATAAGCAAAATTCACTGACAGGGTCGTATCGTGCGTAAAGAAACAGTGGCATGTTCCAAGACGCTGCCATCACCCACAAGACTACGACAATGATCTTGAGTTTGGCAGTTGTAATCCTTTTTTGTTCGTCATATGGAAATTTGATGGCAAGGTATCGTTCTAAAGCGATGCAAACGAGAGAGAAGGCCGAAGCAAGCGCGCCAACCCACGTAAAAGCTTCACCTGTGAGAAGCTGGCAAACAAAGTCACCTATTTCTCCCTTTGGGTGGACAAATACCAAGGTGAAGATGTAGCGAATTGCGATGAAGACTGCCACCGTCATATCAGCAACAGCTAAATTGACGAGGAGAAAATTCATTGGAGTGCGCATCATTCTGTATTGAGAACAAATTTCAATAAAACTTATTTTAGCAATAAGTACATTAGTTAAAAACAGATCCTAGTTAAGGTTAGGCAAATCTTAGAAGGCAATTTATAATTAAAACACAGACTTCGGAACAAATTTCGTCCCTTAAAGGCGCCTACAAGGCTACAACTTACAACGCTTTGTCATTTCACAGTACATATTTGAGGTGGCTTCGAATCCTCTTAACGGAAATGTTTTAAACTTTTTGTTTTGTTTTGTTTTGTTTTGTTTTTGTGTTTTAAACTTAAACATTCTGAACGTGAAAGGTCTGTTGAACTTTACGGCTTTTTACGGTTTGTACGCGCGTAAGGATACAACTTGTTTACCAGATTAATTAACTCAGTACAGCTTTCAAAAAATCAGGAGGATTAGTTCAGTCGGTAGAGTGCTTGACTGCAGAGCGGGAGGTCGTGGGTTCGTCCTAGGATCGGAATAGTTATAATAACTGAGAAATGAAAGTACTCCCTTTGCATTGCGAACAGGTAGACCTTCGCGTGCACTCCACACCTTGAGGACCGCCTTTGCGATAGAATTAGGTCATAAATGATTCTTGAAAGCAGCACCAATATTTGGCCATATTTCAAAAGAATGTGAAGAACCAAGATGGCGGTCTCAAAATGCCCCTGTTTGACCTTTAGCAATGCCTTTAGTATGTAAAATCTCATTGGTTTCTAGTATCAATTATGGGCTATAGTACGTTCAACACCGTACAACACACATACAAACCACACAAAGCGAGAACTACCCTCAAAGGTCCTCAAAGCCACACAGATACATTCGCTCAGACACATGACATTTATCAGCTATTTTGGGCAAAACCTTTTGACATGTACATGTCTTATTCGTGATTTTAAGGGTAACTACTATTCAATGGTCGACAAAATAAGACGAGTCTTTGGAACATTAGCGACGAGTAAAAATGGCGTTTATCAATTTTCTTAAAAAAGGAAAAATTTTCACAATTCTCGTTCCTTCGTTTTCTTTGGACTAAAATGAATCGATCAAAAGCATCTCACACTCTTTAAATCTAACGAAATTTTACGGCTAATATCATTGACCCGACAATTTCAAGTCAGAACTGAAAACGCGATAACCCAAAGCTAATGAGAACAGTACTCAATTACGATGCTGCTGCGGCAGAAATATCTGATCATCTACTGAGGAAGTAAGAGTATTATTATCTTACCTGTTGCGGAACACAACTAAACAGACCAGGCTGTTACCAAACAGATCAGCAATGACAAGGAAGGCAAATGCTGCTGTGATTCCGATCTGTGCGGCTTCAGAGTACTTAAACAGCGTCATCTAAATGGCCTCTGGGTGACTGAAGAAAGTAACAGATGTTATGAAAAGGGCCCGAACTTTAATTTATACTTCTGTGAAAACGCTTCTTAAGCGGAACTAAAGCTAACACTGATTGGTAAAAGATAGACGGATTGATCATAAAACGTAAAAAAAATAGACACTTCTGACCGATTTACAATAAACGGCTTGGAAACTAAAATTTCGAGGACGTTTTTGGACTTCTTACATTTAGGGCATGAATTTTTCGTCATTTCAGGCCATGGAACCTAAAAATGAGCCTAGCTAGCTGTAAAAAGGGGCAATACGGAGGCAATACGTCCTAGCCGGCATGATCACATGCTGTTTACGGAAAATTCCCTCATCCATGTCAGGAAATTCTGTACTTTAAAGCCTCCCCTAGGGCATGACTCAGCAATTGAGGACATTTCTGCTATGTTTTCATTGTTGGTTAGCATGCAAGGATTTTTCGCATGCCTATCGTCAATGATTTGCTCACTGGTAATAGAGGGGGTGGCCCCAGAGTGGTTTTGCATTGAAATTGGCATGCAACAGAATTTCGCATGCCCTGTAAGCATAATTTGAGGTTCTGTGACCTTCTCATCCAGGCCGCGAGAAGCCTAGGTTCTAGTAATAAGTAATTCATACCCTGCAAAATCTCCGGCATGCCGGGCATGCCAAATTTTCTGACATGCCCGGCATGCTAAATTCTCTGGAATGCCGGGCGTGCCATAATTGGGGTCTTGGCGGGCATGTCAAAATCGGTCTCTGGCACGCTCTTAACGCACAGGTTATAATTCCTTGAATCTACAGATATTTTAAGCCTGGCTAAAAAAAAAAAAAAACTAAACAGATCACAGTCCTTATCTTTTGATGTACGGTTACACGATGACGTCATTGCTATTCCTTTCATTTTCATAGATTTGGTTGTCCCAGAGAACTTTAAATAACAAAAGCTCTAATTTTCTCAAGCAAGTAAAACCCTGAGGGATTCGCCCGTAGTAATAAAACAGCTGACACTTTGAACTTAAGCGGAACTAAAGCTAACACTGATTGGTAAAAGATAGACGGATTGATCATAAAACGTAAAAAAAATAGACACTTCTGACCGATTTACAATATTTTGGCTGACCAGACTAACCATTTTTGTTTTCTTTAAGTGTAAGCTGTTACCAAACACAATAATGTCTTTTTTTAAACCAAAAAATCATATTAATGGAGAAAGTCGCCATATACAAGTTAGGTATGGAATGGTGTTAAGAATACTAATACTAAACGATCAGAACCAAAAGACATGTCAACCATGAAGTCATGCTTACTCGATAAGTCGGCCTCTATAGCTTTACCTATAGAATTACGTGGAGTTTCAGTATCCCGGCAGTTTCTAGTGAAATAAGATGCGTGTCACTGAGTATTGGCATAGAGTGATTAGCAGGAGGAAGTTTTCGGTACTGTGTGGGGTTTAGATTTAATATTATTTGGTAAAATCCAACTAGTGGTCTATTATCAGTGCTGCGTTCTGATTGGCTGAGCTTCTACTAGGCCATATGTTATAGCCCGCTAGTAGCGAAAAGCGTCGGCTTTGAAAACCGAAACAATGGAGGCTGAATCGCGTTTTGTTAGCTAAAGTTGTTGTGTCTCGATATTTTTGACCAACTAATTGGATTTTACTAAAACAACTATTCCTCTCGCCCTCGTGGCTTCTGAGTCAATAGCCCATTCGGGCTCGAGGAATAATTGTTAAATAGGCTTGTAATGATCAAACAAAGTTTGATATTGATCCTAAATTTAAGGATTATTTAATTTGTTATCACGATTTGGCGTGTGTGTGTGTGTGTGTGTTTTTTTTTTGGCACTCTTCACCACAAAATTATTCTCCACCTTAATTTATGAATTCCCTCTAGTTAACTGGTGTCAAATAGAAATTGCTAGAAACAACTCAGCTGATAATAGGGCCATTTATACGAGGAAAAATAAGACGCGTCTTAAATAAGACGCGAACTTTACCATTTATACGAGCATGTCTTATCTAATAAGACGCATCTTAGCTAAGCCGCGTCTTATTTTAGACGAAATGTGCCGTTTATACGGAAAGTTCGCGTCTTATTTTTCCTCGTATAAATGGCCCTAATGCATATTTACATGGCTATTGCAAAAATAAAAAGCCGAAGTAATAATAAGCCAGCAGACGGCTAGGCATCCGATGCAAACCAGGAAGATAAAATTGTTATAGATTGACACTTATTACCGGTAACAGGTTTTACATCTATGCGTCTGAATCAATTAGGAACGCCTATTTCAATTTGGAACGGCTCAGCCGTTCTTTCCGCATAGCCCGGCCGGGAATTTCGACTCGGTGAAGCGACTTTGGAACGCCTTTGATTCAGACGACGAACTTTTCATGTGCCTAACCTAATGCATAAATTATCATAACGTATTTCAGTGCAAGCTGTTTTGTCCGAAATGACCATTTTTATTCTTTTGAATTTAGTTCGGCTGGAATTAACCTAACGAACCCTAGACCATGTGTCAGCGCCTTTTCTAAATTCTTCAATCGCAATATTAGCAATAACAGTTTGCAGGTTTTAAGCCGATTTTTCGCCTGTTTGCACGCGATGAGCTCAGAGGAAATGGAGCACTTCCCGGTTTTGCGCTGAAAACATAAACTTGTAAAACTGAGAGATGATGACCAACGGCAGTTTCCCAAGTCCTCCACTCCCCAAAAATCGTCTTCGAACATACGCGCATGTACACGTGTTGGATGTAACAAGGGTAGATTCCTGCGTTCACGCAGGCAGCTCAGACGAAAAATATGGTGTTAATGTTCAACGTACAATGGGCGGCTGAGAGGCGATAACTAAAAAAGCGTCGGAAAATCCATTCCCGTATAAACAATAACGATCCATTTACTCGACAGGTAAAATTAATGGAACAATTTCGTTATTTCCGCACAACAAGCAAAATAAAATTGGTTTAGCAGGCCCGCGGCAGCTGTAAGAAATTATATAACAAAACAAATAAATTTACAACAAGCAGTCTAGCATTCTAACCCTTAAAAATACCTTTCTCACCACCTCTTATAGAACTGTTTTTACAATATCATCGAAGGCACTCTGTTAAAACTGATGCTGTAAAAAGGTTTGGTGAATGTTGCAAGCAACTGTGTCAAGAAAAAGCAATCGGAAAGCGATATTTTGGAAAATTGGTCTTGCAGGGCCCCCTGAAAGGAGGAGCAGGGGGGCTCGAGACAGAACTTTTGATCGTTAAGAACAATTAATGTGCCAGAAAATTTCTAATTCAATCATGTTCATCTGCAACAAACAGTTCTGAATTCTGAGCCTTAAACAAGGGTCGCGCCTATCTACGACACACACAAAAAAATTACAGAGATATGGAATTGAGACAGAAGAAGTGCGTTGTAAAAGACCCACTTACAGAGGAGATTTTCGGTGCGATTTTTGTAGGTGTAAAATAGCAGTGATTTTATTGCCATTTTGTGGTTGAGAGTGGCCCATTGAGCTAGAAGATAAATGTTGTCATAAGTCTTATAACATGCGCCCTACGGAAACCGCTGCATGCATAAAAGATAGGAAAGCTGGTGTAAAATCGCCGCTTACATAAATTGCAGCAAAAGTGACACAAAATGAAAATTCTCTGCATAAACAGAGAGAGCTGGCACAGAAAGTGATCAAGTTAACGAAGGTTTTTCATGACGAGGTAGGTATTCCAAACGGACAGTTAGATCTATGCAATCCGGCCTGCGATCGCATGACCGCATAGAGAGCGATCGAATTGATATAAACTGACAAACAAGGAGGCGGGCTATTCTTAACCTGCTAGTTTTGAAACAAAAACAAAAAGACAAAACAAAACGCACACACACAGCAACGCGAATTCAAGAGGTAAATGAAAAAGTTGTAGTCCTCTAATCTGGCGAAGACATTGTCGTTGAAAAAAGTTTACTATGGCAGATAATGAACTTTGCAGTCGCAGTCCGAGTCGCTCGCCGGTTAAAGTTACGTATTAAAACTTCTTTGTCACGTCAGGAGAGAGTTATAAATGACAAGGAGGAGTTTTTTTATGGTAATTTAAGACTTTCGTAAAAAGCGGGAAAACGCACTACATTCAGTTTTTCGGCAATAGGATCATTTCACTTTTCATATCTCTAAAGGAAACTTGTAAGCCAGCGTTTGTAACGTTCTTATAACAGCCCCCTACGCCAAAGCTCCCCCTTCCCATCTCAATCGAAGCCGGAATCTGCAGCAAAAGATTTCAGGATTTTATCCCCCCGAAAAAAATAATGGTCCGTCCCTTAAATTGATGAATGTTGCGAACAACTTTGTCGGACAAAAAGGAAATTGAAAGTAGTATTTTGTCAAATTTTCAGCAGCCTACATCTCCATGTTGACGAAGCTACTTCAAATTGTGGCATTGTGAACAGTATTAGCATCTACCCAACATGACTCTTGGTACGCCTTTTGACCTTTTTTTTCTGAATGTTTTGACGGGTAGAAAAAATAGTTCTCACTTTGGTCGCCCCCTCAGCCCCCCTCCGTCAACTTCCGCCCAAGTTAGTTTAGCCTTACAACGGGCCTGTATTGAAAAGACCCTTGAACTGATTTTGAGTGAATTTAAATAAGGGACGTGGACAAATGTACAATCAGAAATAATTTGTTCAGCTTGGAAAATAAATTTATAACAACTGACAGTCCAAATATTAAGGTTTGAAAATTAATTTCGTTATTTAAGTTAGCACGGCGGAAATACACTGTAGAAAAAAATTCAAATATCCCGACAATTGAAACAATCTTCAAGATTTGAAGGATACAATAAATCATAGCCTGCGAAAACATCCGTTTCTCCTCGCTCTTCGCCGCTGGGGATATGATATCGCTTTCCAATTTTCAGAGGATTTTATTAGTAGCTTAACATACAAGAGGGAACTGACTCTTAGATCTAAAAACTGATTTAAGTTGTAGATTATGAAATATGTTCAGAGAATTACCGTATGGTGCAATTTCGTCTTCTACGCCAATTTTTCCTCTTCGAGCCACACACTGCTTTCTTTCCCACGATCGAGTAGTCAGATGCCATTCATATGTGTTAGAACTTATCGTTGGGCAACTTCAATAAATTACTTGATGAAAAGCGTCAGACGAGCTGTACACCTGCGCCAAATTCTTAAATAAATAAAAATCGCTAAGAAGACAAGAAGAAAAAAATCAAATCAGTTACATCCGAGCCTCTCCCACAAAAAGAAGTGGACGACGTAAGAAAGAAGTCTCTTTAAAGAACAAAACAAACTTTTCACAAGTATTATTTGCCGGTTACTGTTCAATCGATCCAGTTTTCTATCAAAAAATAACGATTCTTAAAAAGAGATTTTCAGCGGAAGAGAGAACGTTTTTTTTCTTTTAGACCTTTCGATTACGTTCAATTTGTCTCAACACTTATTAACTTATGTTGATCAAAGAGGTGTGATTCCGGCAAGAAAGCAGAGGGAACCAACCTTCTTATATTTTTTATATGAATGTGGGCTTTAACCTGGTTTAACAAGAAACTATGTGACTACTTATCCTACATGCCTACTTTGAAAGAGACTGCCCTCGTAAAAACGGAGTAGGAAAATTTTCAGGACATTCAGCGATACTTTTCAGTGGAAGATAAAGATATTTTTCCGTGGACAAATATCACATTTATCTGGATCTAATCACTTTTACTTCCTATTTTAGAGGATGATTTTCCGGGCCTTCTTTGTCTTAAAAACTCAGTCCGCCACTTAGCTGTTAATAACAATCACAACTAAATGATTATCAATCATCCTCTAATTAAATGAAACGGATGTAAGCAATAAAGTTTTATCTATTTTTCACTTCTTTGCAGGGTTTTCAATCATGAATACAATGGTTACACTTGGATTCTTTGAATGGTCGACAGGATTAGAATCAGGGGTAATTTTTCTCAAATTACCTTTTAATAGACCTCTTTAGCTTGTATGCTTTGTTCTCCCAATGAAGGTCTTAAGGGAATTTGCCGCTTTGTCTTTTCATAAATTATGCGTACATTTGCACGGGAATAAGGTGAAATTTGAATGGAACAGCTCTTTTGAGTATTATCACATGACCTACATTGAGAAATTAAACAAAACATACAAGCCAAGAGAGGTAATATTGTACCATTACGACTACCCGAGTGACGAGCACATAGGGAGTTGAAGTATAATCTACTAAAGCAGCAGACTCAGAGTCAAAACGAATTTAGCGGCAATCTGAAAACGTGAAAACGATCGAAAAGGTATAATGAAAATAAAATAAATGAAATAAATGCTATTTGCGTTTAAATAGCGGTTGTTTCAAGAAATATTTCATCTGGATGGTTTCAACCGTATCCGCAATGAAGGATGTGCTGAAATTCATTAGCTTTAGATTTATGTCAGGTTATAGTGAACGTCTCAGCACTTTTCAAAGCATTTTTTTTATATGAAAATGATACAACGACAAAAATTGTGATTTCCCGCTACCATTAACCTCACCCTTACCCACTAAATATTACCTTCACCCTTTAATACAGGCTTAACCTTCACCCCATGCAGCACGCAGGCTACCAGCTAGGTTCTCGCTGACAGGGATACAGCGTCATTTGAACAGAATGAGCATTTGACTGAAGTTTTAGCCTAGTAATAGAGCATTCTAGAACTTCATTCAACCAATATAAATCCTTGCTAAAATGAAAAGGTTCATATTTACAACCACATACATGTAACATAAAATTAATGTGGGTGCACATATGAACGGGGGGGGGAGAAGGAGAGGAGGTTCCTCATTCAATGTAAGGTAGATACATAAATAGAAAGTGACGGGGGGTAGGGGCTCTGGGAGGCCAGCGGCACATACCCAGCAAGCTTTGACCCAAGTACCCCCCCCCCCCGGGGTCATTACAAAATGCTATCTGGTGTAGGAGACAGCGAGGCCGCCTCGTCGATATTAATCAAATTGTTACAGCGTTCCATGAACCTGTCAGCGGAAGCCTCGAGGTCAGTCATTTACTCGGTTCACAAGTCTTTGTGCTATAAATACTGCCGAGAGTTAATAAAGGAAACTAATTTTATTTTACTTTATTTTAGTGGCGTCTTTGCGCGTCCGTAATATACCCGTGCATACGGCAATTATCACACTTCCTTAAAGCCAGAGTAGTCATGGCAGAACCCATACAGGACGTATAAGTAGTACCCGATAAAAACAACGAAAAGAAGTGTTTCATCTGAAATGGAAATTTGCAGACTTTGAGTTATGAGTGAAAACGAGGGGCAGAGAAAGGGGAAAACGAGTTTAAAACACTCTCCCCAGTATCAATCGTTGTTATCATACTCGCGCCAGACCTTTCGCTCGAAGAGCCGCGCGTTCGCGTATTGGTACGACCAACTTAAAACTTCGAGAGTTGGTTATTTAAACGAAGTCTAACTTAGAGCGCGGTTTGAGAAATCTTTGGACCTTCAGATCTCTTCCTTACAGGGTTAATTTAAGAAGATAACTGCTTTTCTAGTGTAAAACATATGCTTTGATGAAACTGTTTACGACAAATGGTGTTTAGATAAAAGCGTTGGGCAAACTGAAAATGACTTAGAACGCGGTTTTTTTAAACACTGGTTAAACGCCGTTTAAATAACCGGCCCAGAGTGTTTTGTGGTCTAGACATTCATTGATACCAATGGAGGCCCCATTGACCGTATTGATTATATATCGCATAAAGAAAAAAGCTTAGATAATGCAGAAAAAAAAATCACTTAAGGGGTTTGTTGAATTTGATTTCTACACTGTTATTATGTATTGTTCGGTGCCCAAATGACAAGTACGTACATGTAACAGAAAGATTGAGCACTGCCCCTCAGCGCCCGCCTTCTTTTCTGCGCTTCTCGTACACCTTTTCTGACTTGGTTTTTAAACATAATATTTGGCATAACTTTCATCTATTTTCCGAGCGCTGTTAGCATAATTTGCACTTTTGGCTAGTTTTGCAGCACAAAATTATCGTTTATTGATCATGCAACAAATTTTTTTTGGCCCGTGATCAGTGCTAGAGGCAAATCTAAGCAAAAAAATCAATTTTTTGTCTGCTTATTGTCACATCATGAGACCTGGGTCCCACGGGAAGAGACCCAGGAATTTTCCCAGGACTCTTTCCGCAGGACACAACGCATGCGCATAACTAGCTCGGTTACCGAAAATGGCGTCCGCGTGCAGGTTATTAATTGTTTCAGCGACTTTTAATAGTTGTCATGCAATGAATTATGCCCTCTTAAAGTTTCTAGATGTTAATAGGGTAAATTGCCATTTACTTGTTTGTGACATAGTTATTGAGGTGTGTTTACCAAATTTAAAGTAAAAAGTAGAAGCATAATTTCTGATTTTTTTGATAAAATGAGCATAATTTACAAAAACTAACATAATTATTGGCATAATTTTAGAAATATACGAGCACTGCTAGTAACATATTAAGCTACTTTTGCGAGCAAAATCTATCAAAGCCTATTTCTGATGTTTCGGTGATATTTCCTATGTTTCCCATTTCCAAAGAAACTAAAGGAGCTATTTCATAACTGTATGTACGTGTAAATAAACATCAGGTGTGGTTACAGGGGACACTCAGTTTACCGTGGTAAATGACCCTTTTACCGTGGGAAATTGGTGTAGTGCGTGTGACCGCACTATCCCGAGATAAATTTACCATGGGAAATGTCCAAGGATACGTCAAAAAGAAGAAAGAAACCGCCCATGACATTTACCGTGGTAAATAGCTGGGGTGTTTCGATACCCAAGGCACAAGAACTAATCAGGATCCTTCATTAGACACCAACATGAAACTGCAATAAACTGCAACTGCGTGCGTTTGGCTGTAGCTTATGACACCAAGAAAGTAGGAGTTAAAACATTGACAAAATAAACGTTGTTTCTGGAAGAAAAAAAAACAATTCGATGACGGAGGCGGCTTAAACATGTCCAAGGAAAACAAAAACTCAATGGGTGCGTTCGATGGGAAATCTGGATTTAGGTTTTAAAATCCGGATTTCAGATTTGCAATCCAACGCAAAATCCGAAAACGGGTTTCAAAGCTAAGATGACTCTTCTTGGATTTCCTTTCTTTCCGTTTTCTTGGGAAATCCCAAAAAGGATTTGAAAAACTGTCCTTAAGAACAGCGGTCTGGCACGCGCACGCGCACGCATAATTAGCAAAAAGAAGATAAAAGACATTCACCGCCTTACACAAGGACGGAATTGACGATTTTCACGAACACCTTAACAGACAGAACGCGGACATACAGTTCACCAAGGAGATCGAAGAAAATGGTAAGAAACCTTTTCTAGACTGCTTGGTCACTCGCGACAACAACAAACTAAAAACGACTATTTACAGAAAACCGACACATACCGACCGATTACTGGACCAGTCTTCGTACAACCCGACCTCTCACAAGGCTACTACTATCCGGACTTTGACGAGACGAGCGCAACTAGTTTGCGACTCACCTGAC